CGTTGGGGCAAGTGCTCTGTTGGCCTAGATGAAATATAACGAGGGTCGTTTGGTCGTAGGATCGGCCAGGAGCAAAAAAGTGTCTCCCCCAGCAGTGGGGCGAGTCGCGCTCTGCTGGAATTTGAAAATTTGAGGCTGCCTAAATTGCCTTTTGAAGCGAGACCCATTAGAAACTGTTGCACAGATAAGACAATAGTACTAGTCTCATTCCTCGGAGAAAAGCCAGGAGGATGGGATATAGATGGGTTGATGTTTCCACAACATTCCTTTCTCGAAACAGCAGCAGAAGTAAATTCAAAATTGCCTGCCGATGATCCCGTCGATTTTTTTTGCTGTTTTTGTTGTTTGGAAACAGCGAGCTACGGTTTTTACAGTACACCAACATTCAGCGGATTAAACAGGGAACAATGACCATCCATTACTACGATACAATGCATGTCTAACTAAGGATTAGAATACCCGAAAATGCGTTTGAGATTTGATACATCGTTCATTTGATATATAATAAACACCTGCAAGACGCTAAAAATGAAAGAGGCAATACTCCTTTCGATGACCATTTTTGTTTTGGCAAAACACGCCCAGGCTGAAATCCAGGGGGGTATGCACTGTATGCCCGTTTTAAAACTCAAAGTCATCTACAGAGGACAGGATCACCCAAACAGGAAAATAAGTGAATCTATTCTTTAAAAAGTCGACGAACAAGCCTTAACGTACAGGGGTCATCATGGCCGACTGGGCGAACGTGATATGTGTCTGGATATGTCATGTGTGCTACCTTAAAACCGTCTACATATATAAGTGATGTCTGACACGTGATGCGCGATGCCGGTTTAATTGAAATCGCTCGCATGGATAATTGATGCGCGATGTGTGATGCCTGTTTACTTGAACCCGCTTGCATGTTTGAATGAAGCGTGATGCGTGATGCCTGTTGAATTAAATTTGTTTGTATGTACCCGTATTTTCGCGATTCTAATTCTTATTTAGACATGCACTGTACCCTGGTAGTAGCTGGCCATTGCTCCTTGTTAAGCATGCGCCCGGGTGACCGACTAGATATCCTTTGCTCGGGTGGGGGCGAGGGTGGGGGGTCAGTTTTACCCGCAGAGATCTCGGGAACTAAGAAAGCTAGAAATACCAAATTTACAGGGTGCGTTGAACTATACATGAACTCACTTAGGTCAAATTTTCAGCTTCCTAGATCATGACCTTTGGGTCAAACAAGGTCAAACAAGGTCAAGTTCCAGGTTGGTCTTCAAAGTGCCCCAGAACCTTGATAACGTTTCTACGGCTAGCTACGGCTCAGGTATCCACAAGCAACAGTCCTCCTAGATCGGCAGGGTTTTTGAACGCTGTTGCATTAAAAAGCTGCGATTAGCTACGTCCTTCGAGACAGGCAGCTTCTCACGACATGAACACAACCAACAGCAGACCATAGCCTTGCACCGACCACACCAATGCACACCAATGTCTCACCACGTGACGAGCGTGTGATGACCACATCAACGCATCACCGCGTGACGAGCGTTTGAGCCCATCTGCCTCAAATGGCACGACGCTCTAAAACGCTGCGTAGCAAACTGATCACGTTCGTCGCAAGATACTGTGGCCAGCCACCATTCGAACGACTAGCAAGAGGCCTAGGTATTTTGTATCTTAATCCTGTTTAGTATATGACGCGAATCTTGACTGAACAATATGTGAAAAACATTGACCTGAGGGACATTGGAAAAGCACTGCGACACCCCTGATTGTGACACCAGCACTGATATGGTATAGATTGTAGTGTATTTCTGGCACCTGCTAAAGACTATTCTGATTAAAGCTACCATATTTGGTAACATCTTGTGCTCATAGCGAAACGGCAACGTCTCAACATGTTTTGTACACATGCTTACGCTGCCAGTGTTAACGGGCGCAGACCAATACTAAGCTTTGAGTTTTGTCTAGCTGGGATGGTAGGTTATAATATGGGTTGCTCTGTTGAAATTTATTTGCATTTTCACAATTTTGTCACAAATTGGTTCGCAAAAGTGTCAGCTTTTGCCGTCGATCATATCTGGCAAACAGAAGCTGGGGCAGTGGTGGTGCTGGGCAAATTTGCTCGAGCAAATTTCGTTATGCAGTTCTGTTTTGGCTCTTTCTCGTGGCGCATGTTATCTTCAGGCGCAGTGGTCCTGCCCCACCGTTATCGAATCTCCTCCATCCCATATTCATCTGTTCTTGCATAATTGCCCATGAGTTTAAATTGTTTATTTGTATTCACATTCTCGTTTATGGCGCTATCCTTAAGTTATTCGATTACAAGCATTGTCTCCGTAACAGCCAGCACCCACGTTCACTTCTTGTATTACGTAGCACACAACATGATTCATGCTTGAACATCAAACATTGTTATCCTCTTTCTTGCTCTACACTGCATCTTCGCGACGCTCCGCTTGTCCGAGGCAGGCTGCATGCACCAGCCGCACGTAGGCCGAGAGGCCCCCTGTTAAGTGTATCGGACCCCCCCCCCCTTTCGTGTGTGCGCGGGCTAAGACTTGGTGATTGGGCTTCAGACGCATGTTGTCCCACCCCCGTGTAATCCATTCTCCTCCCGTAGCCCTTACGTGATCACTACTGGCCGAAAGGGCCTGATACAAATAACCAAATCTGGTTTGAATCTTACGCTGTCTGCACAGCATTGATCGAGAGCTAATGGAGGGCTGTTATATTTGGAAACTGTGCTCACGAAAGCCAAGCGTGAGCGACATGACGATTATACTCCCCTTGGCCTTGAACGCCGCGTGACTAATGTGGTGGCGATATTCGAATGGTATTTCCATGGTGTCATGCACATCTAAGTGACCTTGAAACAACATGAACAAAATAGTCTGCCCATCTTCGCGGGCTTTTAGCTCAGAAACTAGAGGTTCTTAGGTCTTGAGAAGGGCAGGGCTGTGAACCGCATAAACACACAACCGCACCAAACCCCGGACAAATGTGAAATACTCTTTAACACATAAAGAAACCTTTATCATGAATACAAATAACAAGGAATAGGTGATGTACCGTCTCAGCCTCGAGTTACACTGCAATTGTCATGATAGATTTTCCCTGATATAATCTCGTCCGACAGTGCTTGGAGCCTGATACTAGAAGCAAGACGTTGAAGCAACCACAAAACGCCAAGCTGATAGATATTCGCACCATGCTTCACATTGCCACCCGACCTAGAAAATCAGGATGGTAAGTGACACCAAACGGCAAACAAAGCTGCCCTCCATATTGCAAGTCTCCCTCTCCCTCTGTCTCCTTTTCCATATATTGACATAATCTCCATTCCCTTTTTTCTTTTTCTTCCTTTCTCTCTTCTCTCTCTCCTCTCTCTCTCTCTCTCCTCTCTCTCTCTCTCTCTCCTCTCTCTCTCTCTCTCTCTCTCTCTCTCTCCTTCTCTATCTCTCTCGTCTCTCTCTTCTCACTCTCTCTCTCTCTCTCTCTCTTCTCTCTCTCTCTCTCTCTCTCTCTCTCTCTCTCTCTCTACTCTCTCTCTCTCTTCTCTCTCTCTGTCTGTCTCTCTCTCCCATCCCCCTCCCTCTCCCTCTTCCTCTCTCTCTTTTCCTCTCTCTCCTGTCCCTTCTATCTCTCTTTATTTCTCTCCGTATCTCCTCTCTCTTCCCTCTCTCTCTCCCTCTCGCGCGCGCGCATGTGCCCCCTCTCTGTCTAGCCTCTCTTCCTTGTTTCTTTTCGTTCTCCTCTTGTCTTTGAGTGTGATCAAAGGTATCATGTTTTGGGACTCAGTGCAACGTAAATGTCAAGGCCAACTTGACCTATTACTTAAAACCATTGCCAGGACCCTTGTTAACATGGACCCTGATAAAGGGGGGGGGGGGGGTGGTAATGCGCCCCTCCCTAGAATTTCAGGATATCGCTCCGGCATGTTGCACAATTGCGCCCAAATTTCTGCGGACTATTGGAAATTCATTTCACGTGTTTCGACACCAAAATCACGTTCTTAACTTTTTAGGTTTTGGGGAAACACTGCACGGCGATCCACGGCCCTGAGCGGGCGGGTGGGCGGCGACTGACGATGCCGCGGAACGCGCACGACGGACTGATGTTACATTAACGGAGTCATATATCATAAGTGTATGCCAAAACACATACAAAAACACACGCACTTTTAGCATTGCACGAAGAATTGAGCGAGGTGCGGCAACACAAGCCTAAATGTCTGTTTAGGTTCGTGCCGCCACAAGGCATGTTTTCGCCTGAAAATATTTTGTATAAGTAAAATGTGCATATTTCTGGAAAATTTGGCTCTTATGCCTCGCATAATGGGGTTAGTTGTTAACCTGACACCATACAAGGTCATACTAATCGCGAGATGTTGTGGAGACCAACCCAATGGTAGTTTTTACTAAGGGCTTTAATAAGCTTCATTAGTTTGAAAATGCCATGTTTGGGGGTTGCATCAACGGCCCTCCCCCGAATCTGTCTGCGTTGTGATAACGGCGAATTAGGGCGAGGGTTAAGCTGTTTAATTTTATTAATCTTTCTTCTTGCAGTATGCACGGCGACTTCCACTTTTTTGAAAAGCTGTCTGCTATGCAAGGGGGAAAAAGCCGCCGATTTACAAGATTAGGTCGGTGATAAAAACGAACACTTGTACGAGCTATTTTGGGACAAAATTGCAAAAATGGAAGCAAATAATAACAGACCATCCCAGCTAGGCGAAACCAAAAGCTTAAACCGCCGGCGCCATTCCAGGGATCTGGCAACACTCCATGACTGACGTCATAGCCAACTGCAGCGCCGCCTGGCAGCCGCCGCCCTGCCACCTGGCGGCGGAGGCTGGAGGCGGTGGTCAGGCGCCGCGCCGACTCGTGGAGAGCGCCGTGCCGACCGCCCCGGCGCCACTAGCGCCGCTCGGCGGCGACGAGCCCGCACTACAGACGGGCTACGACGCCTGCTACCATGCTGCAACGGGACTTAGTCCGCCGCCAGGCCTGGCCCCAATGCTCTGTCAGGAGGCAGGGACCGAAGGTGAGCAGCGCACGGCCAGAGACAGCCGCGACTCCATCCGGCTATACTCGGTAGGCTCTGTCAGCTGGGCAGGACTTAAGCCTGGCGCATGTATGGCTCGGTTACAATTTCACCGCACTCATTCACCTTTACTCTTGCACCCCCGTGGCACCCAGTGCATCCACAGTACCTGCATGCATCAGCTATGCGTGACCTTAGGAGCCCCCTGGAAGGAGCCCTGTCGGAGCGAACCCAGATGCCTGTGCATTAGACGCAACTAGTTCTGAAGTTTCACTAGGACTATGTTTTTGAAAGTTGTTCCAAAGGCAAGGCACTCCTTTTGCGCCGCTGTAATGCTCTGACGCCTGCCGCCCGGTGGCCCATCGCTGGCAGTCGGCGGGCACGCACCGGCAGCGTCGACAGCTGGACTGCGCGACGGCGGCGCCCGAGCTGCGCCTGCAGCCACCGCCTCGGCTGCGCTCGCACAGCACCCCGCTGACACTGCGCTGGCCTGCGCGACAACTACGAGCTGCGCGAAGGCGTCTGCATCCCGCGCAGTGTGCTTTTCCAGCACTACACCGTCTGCTGCTACGAGAACGGCATGGTGCCTGTCAACGCCGCCAGCTTTGGCAAGGTAAAGCGGCCAGCGGGGTCATAGCTGGACGGATATATATATATATATATATATATATATATATAAAATATATATATATATATATATATATATATATATAAGCCATATGTGTGGAGGTGACGTGTGACCCAAAGGACACTAATAATTGAAATCCGCTTCCCACCATAGTGATTCGTCTTAAGCAACTCGCCACTTGCTGCGAGGACTGCCCCGCCAGGGCGCGTGGGTAAAAGCGACCCATCGTACAACAGAGCACTGCGGCACAGCCTATGGCCGACGGATATTGTGTTGATGCCGCGAAGGGCGTTCCGTTGCCCGTTCGGAGCAGCGGTCAACTAAGCGCGTGCTCCGGTTGGAGCAGCGGCGAGGACCTGACTGCGCCGGCTTCCGCCGCCACAGATTGTGCGCCAGGAGTACCCACGTCTCACGACACGACGGCTGGGCACGCGCGGTAAATCGCGCTACCACTACTACGGCCTTGCCGTCGCCTGCTCGTCACGCTTCTACAGTCCGCTGTACGCCAAACAACACGCCGGGTAAGCAGCAAGCACGGCTGGGCCTCCTGTAGCTTGCCGTGCCAGGGGCGCAGTCGTAGGAAGGGCTGGGGGGCTCCTCCTTAGGCCCGGATTTTTCGCTTTTTTCGTCATAGATTGCTTCCGACAGAAAGGTAATGATATGTACCCCGCCAAGTTCCGAGCCCTCCCTTAAGGACATCCTGGCTGCGCCCCTGTGCAGCGTGACAGCGACCGACAGATGCCGGTGAAAAATGTGAGAAATTGGAGTGCCCGACCGGGCATCCTCAAACTTGCCCGGCACAACAGATATTGGACGTCATGCCCCGTGTCAACGGGTACACCCGTGACCAGAACAGACAAGGAAATGCGCTCAGTAGCGCTGTGACGTTGATTTATGTCTTTAGGTAACGTTTAAGTCATCACGCGCCTCAACTTGCCCAGTCGACGTCGTTACTTAGCGTGAAGTAAGTTAGAATAGTGCTGCTCAACAGAGGCTTACTTTGTACATGAATTTTGCACGCGCAAATTCGTTTAGTACGAATATGCCAATTTGCATGTTACAATTATGTAGTAAAATGAAGATTATATAGCGGACTACGATATGCAATGCCACAATAACGGTATCCCTGATAACCAATGATGCATTCCGTCCCACTGCTGGAAAATGCAAGATAAGCGCGCGGATGCGCATCACACATATTTTCATACGATTATCATACACACACAGTCTATCAAGTGCATGTAGCGTCTATTTGCGGGCAGACTTAAGGAAGGATTTGACTTGGAGAAATTGAGAGCATAAGCGATGATAAGCAGTCATAGAATTTGTTGGCGATGTAATGCTATTGGACAAAGGGCATATCTGGTGCCTGGGATTTTTTGTTTACCGCCGTGCAAACTATTGAGGAAGAAAACAATAGTCCCCGAGGCGAACAAACGATTACTGATAAGCCTGGATGTCCTTTAATTCAAACAAACCATTAACACTTTGTTCCTTTCCATTGGACTAGCGCGGGCCTTCTTGTCTCCAAGAGTCGATAAACTTTATTATCCGGCGTCCGTCTGTAAATATGAATTAACATATTTCTATCACCATTATATGGTCTGTCCCCCACTGTTCCAGAGCAAGGCCACAGAGTGCCGCAATCCCACTTTCCATTTCTTTGCAGCATGAAGGTGAAAAAGAGATCGACGAAAACTTTCAGCGAGGAGGTAAGCATGAGTGTCATCTTTGTAGAGCGCTGTGAGTGAACTGATATCCAAGAATGCATTCCGGTATTCGTCACGCTGTCCACCACCAGCCGTCTATAAACACAGGCATGAGTAACGCAGCCTTCCGATTCTTGAGCATGCAACAAATAAATGTACTTTCCGAGTTGAGAACATTATGTTTTTGCACCTTGCCGAAGCTCTAGATGATTCGATTCGTAATGTTAATGTCATCTCATATTACTACATTTAACTGCGACGAATATGGCACGTGTAGCTGTAGCATGCAGAAATGCGATGCTGTGCTGGTAATACGTTAGATGCTATAATATGCTGCGGTGCACCATGCGATGCACGCAGTGTTAGCACGCACTTTAGGATTCCGCCATACTTAATGTGACTGAGTCGTAAGTTTAAGTGCTTGGACTTACCCAATCCAGCACTTGGCTGTGATTCTTTTAAAGTCGCCCAAAATTTACGTTTCCAAGAAGCAGTTGTTCAGTCGAACATGTCCCAAATGTTTGAAATGTTTCCAATTTTGTGCTTTGTCTTCCGCCCAGCGCTATCAACAAAACAATCCCATAATGAAAGTAGGCAGCACTATTGCGTACCACAGGGCTAGGACCGAGAGCAAAACTTCTCAGAACTATTGACGCGTAAATAAAATCCATTCGGCAGGGATAAAGATACGGAACGAATATGGAAGTATGCTGCAGACTGGGCTAATCCCCCAATCATTTGCCATTTTGCCCTTGTTAGAAGCTTTGCGTGACGGTACATTTTTAAGAAATGCGTAATGAAGGGGTAACGTTGTTATTCTATAGGGTGGCTACCAATGACACTGAGAGTTCCTACCGTCTGCATTTGATATGTTAAACATTGCTTGAAGACAAATAAAAGTCGATTGACTTTCATCGCCTATGTTTACCGACCCCACTGCGGCCCACCCAACCTCCATGGTGCAGCTGTGGCCTTTATGGTGCAGTCATGGCCTCACTGGTGCGGTCGTGGTTTCCGCGGCTATAGTCGTCTGTCTCCATGTGCACCATGGAGGGAGCCGTGGCCTCCATGGGGCAGTCGTGACCTCCATGGTGCAGTCATGGCCTCCACGGTGGAGTTGTGACCCATGGTACATTCGTGGGCTCCATGGTGCAGTCGTGGCCTCCATGGTGCGGTCGTGGCCGCCATGGTGCAGTCGTGGCCTCCATGGTGCAGTTGTGGCCTCGATGGTGCAGTTGTGGCCTCGATGGTGCAGTTGTGGCCTCGATGGTGCAGTTTGTGGCCTCTATGGTGCAATTGTGGCCTCGATGGCGCAGTTGTGGCCTCTATGGTGCAGTTGTGGCCCTCGATGGTGCAGTCGTGGCCTTTATGGTGCAGTCGTCAGCCTGTGACTCGCGGGCTTAAGACCCTCGGCGTGGCCGTCCAACAGAAGCCGGCGCCGCGTCCAGCCCGGGTGGCGCTGCCCGAGTTCCCGTCGGTCAGCAGGATCGCCTGGCGCGAGCCGGCTGTGCAGCGGGCTACACTGCACCGCTTCCTCGTCATGTACCGTACCCACTGTCAGCGCCTGCTCGACCTGGTGGCTGCCGGCGACTACGGCGACGTAAGGGCGACTGCATATATAATAATAACACACGTAACGTCAGCGGGCTGTTGGAATGGCACACCAAAGTACATACACACTCGATCGGAGGAAGCTCATAAAGCGGTCCTTGGTCTGACCTGACAAACATGCTGTTACTTAACGAGGCTGTTAGCAGAAGCTGAGAGAGGGCTACAAATGAGCAACTGAATTTCATGAAGAGTTGCGTTTTCAAAAATCATGTTAATGTGATTAACTGCGTGCGGAACATCAACATGTTTAAAGCGTTTCCATGTGGTTCGTCATACATGTAAAACGTTACTACATCGCCATGAAGCGGACACGTTACTAACCAGCAGTGCCTTAGCTTTCTTACCCCGTCACTAACTCACCGCAGACGCCTATACATGTTTGCACCTAACCTGTAACTGAGCTACCAGGAGCACCAGCCCATAGAATTCGCAGTCCTGGCTCATCCGATGCAAGGCAACTGAGCCAGAGCAGGCACGGCTCGGCCGCGAAACACTGTCCTGCGGTGTCCTGCCCAAACCGCTGCCCTGTCAGCTGTCACACGGGCCTGTCCCCCCCCCCCTCCCCACCCGCAGCCTCGCTGGCCGGCCTCTGACAGGCGCCTGCCTGCCCCGGGCAGGTGCAGGGCACGGTGACGCTCTTCTGGCAGGGCATGCCGCAGCACGTGCGCGGCCTGCTGCGTCACGACGCCATGGTGCAGGTGGTGGCCAGCTGCGACGGCATCCTGTACGACACGCTGACCGAGCTGCTGCTGCCGTCCGATAGTCTGGTCAGTCAGCCGGCAGAGCCGCGCTCTGCCCTCAGGCGTGGGGCCGACGCGTCAGGGAGGCGGGGATGCCCTCCAAGTGCGGGACAGTGAGAGGAAGAGAGGTAGGGTTGGTGGTGGCTTAGTTGGGGCGAGTCTGGGACAGAGGAACGGAGGTCACCACTTTTTCACAGACGGGAAGGGGGGGGGGGCGACGAAGGAGGAGTAGAGAGAGGGGTAGATATTCACGTGGAAGAGGCGGCGCAATTCACTGAATCTGACTGCCCGAACGGCTGAGCAGGCATTTTAGTGTACCTACACCAGTCAGTGTGTAACAAAATCAGCGTGTACAAAGTGCGTGGAACAGCTGCTGACCCACGGGCTGCAGCGGGAGCTCCGGCGGTGTCCAAGATGTCGGGCTTTGCCAGTTCTGTGAGCGTGAGCCTTTGCTTTGTGCAGCGGGGATTGCAAGGTGTATCAGGCAGCACTGCGTTCCAGCCGTCGGTGGAGCGGTCTCTGGAGGCGGCCGCGTTCGGTCTGCAGCTGCACGGCTGGCTGGCCGCCTGTCTCGCGCACACTCCGTCCCAGCTGCAGCAGGCCAAACTGGACGGTGAGGTGTGGACGGCGCCCCAAGGTGTGAGCTCGCACCAGGGGACCACGCCGGCTGGTGGGCCCGCAGCGCCGCCTCTCGGCACGGCCGCGGCGCAGCACGTGTAGAAAAAACTAGGATGACAGCTTAACCCCCTTTGTTGGCGAGGAGGGGGGTGATAACCGTAAACTTCTGGAGATCGCAGTGGACTAAATATTTATTTAGAGAATTGGTATGCATGCAGTTGCAGAGAGATGGTATGTATGCACGTGGTTAAGCTAGAAAATAGTTTAACATGTTTTATTTACATTGGCGTAGATTTTTCTCTGGCTAGATTATTTGGATGAAGGATTTAAACTTTGCCTACCATCGGGGCGTGAATGCACAAAATATACGTTCTGTTAGCTGCCGTGGGAAATGTTGAAGGTTTTTTATCCACTTGGCTGTATTCAGCTGACAATATTTAAAGCGCATTACCTCCAAAGCGAGGGTGCCGCGCTAGGCTGCAATGCTATTACTGAAAGCGTTTGTGCACAGCTGCGAAGGGACCGATCTACCGTGCTATACGGCCCCGGTCTGCATTATCTCCTCGCTATAGTGATAGTATCAATTTTGCTAACATCTATTCCGCATCAATGGATAAAATAGGCTATGTATATTGCATAGCACCATGCATGAATGTCTTCTGTCACGACTCTTTCCCAATTCTCTTCACGCTCTGCAGTCTGAAGAGTCCTGCTGTTTGCTTAAGGCATTTTTCACCGCAAGCTCCTGGCACGGCCGACCGATAAACGTAACGTCGCTACACTTGGCGATTGGCTGACTGTCGTGATGATCCTGCTCTGTGGCTAGCAGACATTCATCATGCTGATCATCGTCGAGTCGTTCATTGATGGGAAGCAAAACACTAGCACCCCTATCTCTGGACCTTCATATGGCGCCCTGTATATCACGCCGCAAAATGCTCCCGCTATGCGATGGAATTGGTCGTCGGCCAGTCGGGTCCGTCCCTCTCCGACCACTTTCACTGATCATGTGCTATACAATGTGCAGTGTCGAGCATGCGACGCCGAGTCTGTCAGCTTTCTATACAGTGTCTGATAACCACCACGCCCGGTCCGGAGAGCCGCCACGCCCGGTCTGGAGAGCCACCACCCCCCGGTTCGGAGAGCCGCACGCCCGGTCCGGACGAGCCGCACGCCCGGTCCGGAGAGCCACCACGCCCGGTCCGGAGATCCACCACGCCCGGTCGGCCTCACAGTCTGGCGTGCGTGGTGCTGCCCGCAGGCTGGGCGCAGGTGCTGCAGCGGGGTGCCGGCGCCGTGTCAGGCGCAGGCTGACGTGCGTACGCCGTCCGCAGGGTGCGCGGAGATGGCGCAGGTGCTGCAGCGGCTGCCGGCGCTGTGTCAGGCGCAGCACGCCTGTCTGTCCCTGCTGCGGGACGGGCCAACGCTGGCTCGCCTACAGGCGGACTGGCGAGCGGTCGACCTGTTCAAGGTGGTGCAGCTGACGCTGGCCGAGGCACCGCACGCCGACTTCCACTGTCTCACCAACGGTGCGAGCTGGTCTGGTGACGCTGTGAACAGACCTGCGCTGCCTGATTGGCCAGGAGAGGCAGGGGTGTTTTTTGGGTGCTCAGGTGGCGTGGGGAGCCAATTATTACCGTCCTATTGATCAGGCTGCTCGTAGGGCGGACCATAATCCCTGGGTGATCGCGCGGCAAGTCGGAACAGAGTTGTCCTGTCGGGATGGGCAAATTACATAAGCACTAGATCTACACTCGCTCACTTGTGGTACTTGTTAAGTTCGCGCGCACAAGCATGAGTTCCCGACTTTTCACCGACACAGCGGTATGCTCGGTATGCGGGGGATACATATACACTGCATGACCTACGCAGGATGTTTCAGACACGAATCCGTATCGCCTGATAAGTAAGATGTTTTGGGGAGTGTGCATTTAACCATTACAATCACGTCCTCGTCGACAATTCTCACCAAATTTGGCGATCTTCCCGCAACAAACCGCACAACGTGATGCCTTTCAGCCGTGCTGGAGTTTGAGGGTCTCCTGCTGGGGTCTGCTGACCTCACGGCGCTCAGAGGGTTTCATGGACAGGCTGCTCAAGTCGTTTCCTCAGAGTCGCGGCGGCTGCGTCAGCGCCGAGGCTGAGGACCCACGCCCAGCTCCAGCACACGGTCCACCGTGTCTACCTCACCTGGAGCACCTTCTGCGGCGAGCTGCTGCGCAGGATGTCTCACAGTGGTGAGTATAGTCACTCACTAGCTGCTGCGCAGGATGTCTAACAGTGGTGAGTATAGCCACTCACCAGCTGCTGCGCAGGATTTCTCACAATGGTGAGTATACCCACTAACCACCTGCTGCGCAGGACGTCTGACAGTGGTGAGTATAGCCACTCACCAGCTGCGGCGCAGGATTACCCCGCAGGGTGCATAAAGTCAGATACTGCGCCCGATGCCTCGCGCTGTTGCATTCACTAGCTGGGGCGCGAGATGTTCCGCAATATGTGTATGACTTTGAGGTACGCAGATGTCCCGCAGCAGCGCGTGTGACCAGCTGCGCGGCGAACATTGTCCCACGTGTGCTGTGTATAACCAGCTGCACGGCGAACATTGTCCACGGTACTGTGTATAACCGGCTGCACGGCGAACATTGTCCCGCGGTGTTGTGTATAACCAGCTGCGCGCGAACAGTCCCGCGGTGCTGTGTATAACCAGCTGCACGGCGAACATTGTCCCACGGTGTTGTGTATAACCAGCTGCACCGCGAACATGTCCCCGGTGCGTGTATAACCGGCTGCACGGCGAACATTGTCCCACGGTGTTGTATAACCAGCTGCACGGCGAAATTGTCCCACGGTACTGTGTATAACCAGGCTGCACGGCGAACGTTGTCCCACGGTGCTGTGTATAACCAGCTGCACGGCGAACATTGTCCCACGGTACTGTGTATAACCAGCTGCAAGGCGAACATTGTCCAACGGTGATGTGTATAACCAGCTGCACGGCGAACGTTGTCCCACGGTACTGTGTATAACCAGGCTGCACGGCGAACGTTGTCCCACGGTGCTGTGTATAACCAGCTGCACGGTGAACATTGTCCCGCGGTACTGTGTATAACCAGCTGCACGGCGAACATTGTCCCACGGTGTTGTGTATAACCAGCTGCACGGCGAACATTGTCCCACGGTGCTGTGTATAACCAGCTGCACGGCGAACATTGTCCCGCGGTACTGTGTATAACCAGCTGCACGGCGAACATTGTCCCACGGTGTTGTGTATAACCAGCTGCACCGCGAACATTGTCCCACGGTGCTGTGTATAACCAGCTGCACCGCGAACATTGTCCCACGGTGTTGTGTATAACCAGCTGCACGGCGAACATTGTCCCGCGGTGCTGTGTATAACCAGTGACCGAGCAGGCCATCCTAGAGGGGTGCATACGGCGGGCTTCCGAGCAGAACGTCACACAGCGACGCGTACAGTTAGGCCCTGCGCTGGATGTGCCGGAAATGAGTGCGTGATGATGTTCAAGAGGCGGCCGGCACGGAGCAGGAGCTACCCGATCATGATAAACAGAGCAATTTCCGGCGTTCTGGAAATACAACGACGAACTACTCACTACGTGCCACAGAATGACGCATTCATCTGATCACAAAATCTCGTAAAGTCGTCGCAGACCTGAAGAAATACGAACATTGCTAAGCTTAATTGCATCGAACGCACAAAGCAATCTATGGATCATTGCGCACGTTTATATTGCGACATTTGCATGGCGAAGACGCCAGTTTTGCAGTTGACTCATCTAAGCCAGCTTCTAACGGAGCAGATGCGTCAGTCTTCGGTGTCTTGGAGGGACTTCCATTCTTTGTCGAATAGGCTTGAGTACGAAAATCGTGGGAGTCGTGGATGCGCTCAGATATTTGGGTGCATGACGTGGCTCCGACCTACGCATCGGTGCTAACTCACCCATGTTCACTTGCGGTGCGCATGCGCACTTGCAAATATGCACATTTGATGATCCATGTATGTACTTATCCACCTGACGTTTCAATCTCAGAACACCGAAAATTGCCTCGCGTATCCTGACAGGGGGTTCATGCTCCGTGTCTAAGCCCACACATACCCACCCGAATATCTTTGTGTGAAAGTAAGCATCACGTACTAAAAGCAAACTGCTTGCACCTTTCAGATTGTTTTGACGAGGTGGTACTTACTAGCATTCACGCCGACCAGGCCAGCAATTTTGTTCATAAAATACTCCGTCCGGTAGCCGGTTGAATATCCTTTGCTCGGTGGCGGGTGGGGTCAGTTTCCCTCCTGAGATCTCAAAAAGTAAGATAGTTAGAAACACCAAATTCACTGAGTTTATTGGTTTTTACGTAAGGTCACTTGTGTCAAAATTCTAGGTTGCTAAGTTAATGATCTTAGGGTCAAATAAGATCAAACAAGATCAGACTCTGGCTTGGCATCTCAGGTGCCTTCAGACCTCCTCATGCCACCTTTGTGAAGACAAATACCTGTTGTAATCAAAAGGTTGATTATATTCAATTAAGGTCAGTGACCTTGCTTAACCTAAACGAGGTCAAGATGACTAAGTACGATTCGAGATTGTTCCCATTTTGCCATTCAAATAAGAGTCAGGGATTACGCTAGAAGATGTCTTCTTAAAAAAAAAAAAAAAATGTTGTCCTAGGTCACTTTAGGTCAGTAACTTATTCTGACCCGTAAAAAGTGCATGTGAAATGTCTGCTGTGGTCCCTGTCATTACTAAATTCGAAATGAGCGCCAGAAACTACCCGACCCCGTAAATCAAGCTCTCGAGTAAAAAAGCAGGGTAGTGTTGACCACGGTCTGATCTTCACACCTGACTGAAGGCCAATGCAGTTGATTGTTATTGTAAATTCCAATTGGTTTACTGCCTAAGAAGCTATCCCAGATATGCATGGCTTCGTCTAGCACTCCGTTGTTGCACTACATCAACGATCCCCTAGAAATGCCCTTTGCTGACAGCCATGAACCTGACTTTGACCTGCCATAGGTCAGCGACCTTACTCGGTGCATCTAATTTTTTCATCAAACGATCTGCTGTACAATTATGTTCAGCTATGGCAGAGTTGGATCACGGCTATACGCGTGGTTCGGAAATTATTTTGGAAAGAGGGGGTAATAGAATATTTCCAAACCCAGTGCGTGTTAATGGCTACAATGCAAGCGGAACGAAAAGACTCAAAATGTTCCACCTGATTCAACAAGGCTACAGGCATCGGACTGACTTCCCGCCACCAAGACCACAGGCATTGGGACTGACTTCCCGCCACCAAGACCACAGACATTGGGACTGACTTCCCGCCTCCTGACTTTCTCCTGCTTCCCGCTGTGCAACCAATATTTCCAGCAGCAGTCACCCGCAGATATGGACTCAATTAGGACAGCTGGCAGTGACTGCAGCGTACGGTGGTGTGCCTCAGGTGCTGGCCGTACCCTGCACATCTTCCCCCCTTCCCAACCTCAGGCGTGCGGTGGTGTGCCTCAGGTGCCGGCCGTACCCTGCACATCTGCCCCCCTTCCCAACCTCAGGCGTGGCGGTGGTGTGCCTCAGGTGCCGGCCGTACCCTGCACATCTGCCCCCCTTCCCAACCCCAGGCGTGCGGTGGTGTGCCTCAGGTGCTGGCCGTACCCTGCACATCTGCCCCCCTTCCCGACCTCAGGCGTGCGGTGGTGTGCCTCAGGTGCTGGCCGTACCCTGCACATCTGCCCCCCTTCCCAACCTCAGGCGTGCGGCGGTGTGCCTCAGGTGCCGGCCGTACCCTGCACATCTGCACCCCCTTCCCGACCTCAGGCGTGCGGTGGTGTGCCTCAGGTGCCGGCCGTACCCTGCACATCTGCCCCCCTTCCCGACCTCAGGCGTGCGGTGGTATGCCTCAGGTGCCGGCCGTACCCTGCACATCTGCCCCCCTTCCCAACCTCAGGCGTGCGGCGGTGTGCCTCAGGTGCCGGCCATACCCTGCACATCTGCCCCCCTTCCCAACCTCAGGCGTGCGGTGGTGTGCCTCAGGTGCCGGCCGTACCCTGCACATCTGCCCCCTTCCAACCTCAGGCGTGCGGTGGTGTGCCTCAGGTGCCGGCCGTACCCTGCACATCTGCCCCCCTTCCCGACCTCAGGCGTGCGGTGGTGTGCCTCAGGTGCCGGCCGTACCCTGCACATCTGCCCCCCTTCCAACCTCAGGCGTGCGGCGGGTGTGCCTCAGGTTGCCGGCCATACCCTGCACATCTGCCCCCCTTCCCAACCTCAAGGCGTGCGGTGGTGTGCCTCAGGTTGCCGGCCGTACCCTGCACATCTGCCCCCTTCCCAACCTCAGGCGTGCGGGTGGTGTGGCCTCAGGTGCCGGCCGTACCCTGCACATCTGCCCCCCTTCCCGACCTCAGGCGTGCGGTGGTGTGGCTCAGGTGCCGGCCGTACCCTGCACATCTGCCCCCCTTCCCGACCTCAGGCGTGCGGTGGTGTGGCCTCAGGTGCCGGCCATACCCTGCACGCCTGGCTGACGCAGTAAACGCCCAGTATCGGCTGCACGTGCTGTGCCTTCAGAGAGGTGCCGCCGGCCGGCTGGCCGCCCTCAACTCTTCGGACCAGAGCACCAGCGACGGCAGCTGTGAGCAGGCGCTACGCCGCGCCGGTCCGGCCCGATGTGGGGGTGGTGGGACCGCACAGTGAGGGTGGGATGTTTGGGTGCTATGGGCTTGGAGTGTGGACAGGTGCGCATGGATTTTGTTACCTTCGTTGAGTCCATAGAAGAATTGTGGGAAGGAATGATAACTGATGTACGTTCTTAACGCGTTCCAAGGCATATCGTGTGTCTCGAAACCACTCACTGTTGCCCATTACACAAACACGGTTTCGCGAAATGTCAGAACAACCTTTTGATCGTCTGATAAAAAAAAATATTCCGAATGGTATGCATGGGTGGCTTCGGATTCAGAGTACCTGCTAAGCGTAGCTCGTTGCGTGTACCCCGAGCCCACCACCCAAGCGTGCCGTCCAGTTCAACAGAAAACTTCGCCTCCGCCCTTTCGCCAGACAGGAACGCGGAGGGTTTTACGTGCCGCACAATGCTGCGACACGGCCGCCTCGGGTCTGGGCTGACCCTCGTTGGCCAGTTGCCAGCTGACCTTTCCATTTCAGTTGTGTCAGACAATGCGCCCACTCTGGGACTCGTACCCAGTGCCACTGGATTACGAGTCCAGCACCTTTCCCCTAGACCGCAGAGGCGGCAAATGAATTCTGATAAATTACCGGTTTGAAGAGGCTGGTCATAACGCCTTTGTTTGTTTTCCGTGTTCTAAAACAACCAACAAATTGTGATCCTAAGAGCATCTGACCAATCCCAACAACCCAGTGGTACGAAAGGACCACTCTGCATTGTCTTCGGCCATGCGGTCTCCCGAAAAAAGGACGGGTAAACGTATTTCTCAAATAACTTTCGAAAATACTCATGTGGGCTACAGATCTCTAAAGCCCGTCGGCTGATCATTTGGATATCTTCTACGTAACTGCCATCGACATTGCGTCAAGTCATAGAATTATCAGTAACAACTCACAGTACAGTTTTACTACTACAGGTAGTGCTTCACATTTCCCTCCCTCATTTTGAACTGTTTTAAATCATTCATCGACAAAACCTGCTGTTCGCCAGTCAGAGTCGGTCGTGCCATGCCAAGCCGCACCCTTTGCGATTATAAAAAGGTCACGTGAGGTCATCTGATAACTGGCCAACTAAACCGATCCCTAACGCCCATTTGCGACCAACAAGTCGGTATAACTGACACGCCTCAAGGCCTACGGCTAACTGCTGTAGCCCATGGAGGCTGGACGAGCAGCAAGAATGTCCAACAAGATGACTTGATCTTCACCTTCGTCAACCCGATCTGACCTGAGCCTAATCTTCGCATTTGCTGTCATTTATGGCGTGATTCTTGAGTGCAAATATAAGCGCTTTAGAGGGACAGATGCAAAGCTAACGAGCGCTAGATAATCCTGGAGGCCTCGGGGATTTTGGTTGTTTTGAAGAAATTTTACACGATCTGCGACGTCACCAGACGAGCGACTGGCGTCAGCTCGGTACTTCTTGGGCGAGCATGAACAAAGTCGTCGATTGCTGCTCGAGGTTTTTCCGATCTGTCAATAAGATTTCGAGATGGCTTTGATGACTTTTAACCCCCCAAGTCATACTCCGAGCAGTGTCTGGTTCAACTCCCGAAAGACCATAAAAGCCGTCGCTGAGAATCATGGCTTACCTTACACTTCGGTGGTGTCTACAGACAGTTTTTTCTGAGCATCAGTTAGGACTTAAACGACACCATTTTCTCACGCTGCTTGCCCCCTGCCCCTCCCCCTCCACCTCTTTCAGGTGCTGTGACATGGTTAGATTCTTCGTGGGTTGGGCTCGATTAATTCATTTTACACTACGAAGAGTGCTCTCAATTTCTCCAGCGCTCTAACCAGCCCTCGATGTCTTTCAGACGTTGACAGCGAGGACAGCACACAGAGGTCACCAGCTGGAGAGATGCTCAGCGACTATTTGAGTCCTGCAGGCGAGGACGTCAAGCATATGCCACCGCCCGATGCAACACTGATGGATAATGAGTGGCCGATACTCAAGCCATGCGGCACGCTGTCTTAATAGCACACTGAGCGGTAATGGTCTTGATTTGACTTCTTATACCTATTTCACGTTTTTTCCTGTTTTCTGTCCTGAGTTTTGCATCTGGCTAGGTCATCGTCGGGTGATATACAATATAATGAATGATGCGTTATGTGAAGTTTGTTAAAACGTAAAGCGGCTTAATTACGCAGGCTTAAGCCGTTCTTCATAACGGTAGGTGTCCTCACCGTGACATCTAATTTAATCAACTTGGGCCGTTTTCCTACGACTTGGCATCAGCGACATCTTTTCCCTGAGCAGCTGCTTAGCTCCCACGCTTCGACTACTTCGTGTTGGCATCTCTATGCCGCAATCATTGAGATACAACCAAGGAATACATAATAAAACAGACGCGTTCCCTAATGATGCACTGCAAACTTTCTTAGCAGTGCATGAACAATAACCTATCAACCGTCGGCATTCTATTTTGAACTCTTGGCTTCTCATTTTACCTGAAATGACATAGTCTATAACCAGAATAAATCTGGAAGAACAGTGATGACATATTTTGCTACGTCTTGTTTTGAAACGGAAGTTATCCTTTGTGAGAGTCGGCTTTTGGACGGAAAGTCGTCAGACGTGAACTAAGCAAGCATTCAATGACCAGTTGAAAGAATGCTCTGTCATGCAGTCTTGTAGTTGAGGTTTCTGCACGTCAAATGCGTAAACGGTATCCACGATTCGAACAATGATACTCTAGAGTTAGGTGCCATACTTACGCGTGACTCCTGATTACGCATAGACACAGGAACTATGTTTATTGATGCCACGGTTGTTTTATTGTTCACTTGACTCACAACTGTTCCTATGACTCGCATTTTTTGTGAAACACGTGATACTCAGTCGTGTACATGTACATGATGTGAGGGCAAAATAGGACCAGTTCGATTGCGTCTTATTGCTTTTACTTTGTACCTCGAATGAAAATGTTCGACGCCAAATGCATGACCTGGCGCTTCTCTTGCCTCCTGGAAACGTGACGTGACAACTTCCAGTAGCACAAACTGGATGCACATAGTGACATTCTTGCTCGTCAATGGTGTTGCATTCAACGAGTCAATTCTGCTAAACGTCCCAAACAGCTAACGTGTAGACTGTTGGGGAAATGCATCTAAACATGGGGACAATCGCTCCCAGTTTTGCAAATACCATTCTACCTGGCATGAAATGCCTGCAGGTTGGCCACTTACCATGGCGGACCAACCGGGAAGCTGTCCACATTGGTATCTTACACTGCAATGTTAGATTGCTCATGGACTGATGTTTTCAATATACCAGACACCATAAGTGATTCTAAAACAGGAATACTTTTGGAACACCGTGTCTTCTTATCTTTAAAACCTAATAAGTACGATAATGATGGCAGAAGTCGGTCCAGTGTTATTCTGTCACGCTGATTTCACGGATGCTAATGTGACAATGGGTTGCAGGGAATTGGGTGGAAGGTCGGTCAGGGTGACGACAGTTAGGTCAGATTAGATTAGGTCAGGTAAAGTTAGGTTAGGTCGGTCAGGTCAGGTTAGGTTAGGTTAGGTTAGCTTAGGTCAGGTTAGGTTAGGTTAAGCTAGGTTAGGTTTATCTAGGTTAGGTTAGGCTAGGTTAGGTCAGGTTAGGTTAGGTTAGGTTAGGTTAGGTCAGGCCAGGTCAGGTTCAATTCTGTTTATTTCCCACTCCTCCTGAAATGCCGTTTCCGCGGAGGAACTGCAGGCAGATTGCACCATCGTAACAATCGGGCCAGCGGGTCGGGAGTGTTGTGTCTCTGGAGTGTTTGGAAATAACCTACAGTAATTATTAAAGTTTGAAAGTAAGAGTGTAGATGTACCTGCGTCATGACTATCTACAACATTTATCGTCTTAAAAAGACGATTTATGTACAACGCTTTTTTGCAACATGCAATACCTATGTATGCCTATATTGCTAATGGTTCTGATCGCCCGTTTAAAACCAAATACTCCCACCGAGTTGTGGGGTGCTCGCTGTCAAATTGATGCATTGGTGTTGAAAAATAAGTCTTAACACGCGCTTGGGCGGGAGTTAAATTACCCCGGATGTTTTTCCGGAATGGTTTCCGAACGGCGCGGTGAAACCGCGTCACATTTTGCATGGCTGTGGAAAATTGAAGAGCGGATCGTTAAGCATAAAAATTTAGATGTACCTTGTAAGGTTGCTGACCTATGGCAGGTCAAAGACAGGCCATGGTTTCGGCGAAGGCAATTTCTAGGAATCGTTCATTCTGATGCGACAATGGAGTCTTAGACGAAGCCACATCTGTGAGATGCTTGCTTAAGCAACACAAATACTGAATGAGCAAATTACGTTGACCTAAGTTCAGGTATGAAGGTTAGACCAAGGTCAAAACAAACCTGTTTTATTGCTCTAGGGCTTGCTATATGGAATTGTTGCTGGTGCTCCTTTCGAATTTACTGAGAGCAAAAAATGCATCATACATCTCCCATGGCCTTTTTAGAGGTGAGAAAAGGTCATTGGCCTGAAATGACCCAGGTCAACATTTGTTTTTAGAAACGTATTGCCAAGCGTTATCTTTGTCGCCTATTCAAGTGCAAAACTCAGAGAAGCCTTGTATGACATTGGTCACCATGATCTTCAAAAGTTCAAATAAGGTCACTGAACTTAAATGAGCATGTGAGCTTTTGCCTAGAAGCAATTATCTAGGTTCTGGGGCACTTTGGAGACCAATCTGGAATTTTGTCTTTTTGACCTTATTTGACCAGAAGGTCAAAAAAGACCTAGAAACTTAAAACGTCGACCTAAGTGAGCTCACGCACACCCTGTGAATTAGCCAACACACCCTGTGAATTTGGTGTCTCTAGCTTTCTTAGTTCCCGAGATCTCGGTGGGGAAGGGGGGTGAAATTGCCCCCCCCCCACCCGAGCGAAGGGTATCCAGTGGGCCACACAGGCACGTGTTAACATGGTTGTCTCATCAGGAGGCTAAACAACTTGCGCGTCGTCCATGGACTGATTGGATACAACCTCCACGACCAGGTTGTCGCGGAGAGTAGTAAGGGAACGGAATAGCGTTTGTACAATCAGAAACGATCGGTGTACTTGTTTTGGACCAGATTCCCAAAACCTTAGGGCCCAAGAGGTGGATGCGCACCCGCTTAAAACAGCGAGTTTATTCGTTCGTGTGCGCGGCGCGTTTTAGTCTTTTTTTGTTGTCTTTTCAGGGCATGTGTACATTCCATGCCTAGGAAACTAGTGGAGATAAGATAGCGGGCACTCGAACTGTTCGTGTTTATGATGCATTTTCCCAACAGCGCACACATGAGCTGTTTTGGGCTTGTAGCACGACTGGCTTATTGTTGGATCTAACGACGATCATTACAAGACGATCACTTTTTGGTAGCTCATCTAACGCAGTTTTCTGCTTACCATATCTGATGGTAGGGCATGGCCGCACGTTCTAAACACGGCGTTTCCGGTCACAAATAAAGCGAATTGGAAACGACGTATCGCCATTTTCCCCAAGTCGCGTACGCCATTGTCACCATTGGTTCACAGCCAGGACGCTGGGCGCCACAGACGTGGTCGCGTAAAAAAATAAACCTTATTGCCCTGGTAAGGTGTGGGGAGGTCACTGCGACCCCTCCCGAGATCGGTATGGGATATCTATCCAGTATGTGGGGTAATCGCGCCCACATTCGCGGTAGGTTATGAGGCATCCATTGCATGTGTTTTGACACCCTAGATGCGTTCCTGCCTCTTCTGGTTCGGAGCAGCGGCGATTTTTGAGGAACACTGCTCGGCGATCTACGGCCGGCAGGGGGCGATGGTCGGCAACAGATGACGTCCGGGCTGCCTTTGTTACATTTAGGGATATTGATATCATCTTATGCTTATAACACACACAAATGTACATCGTTGCGCTCGGAATTAAACAAGGATTAAGTCTATTTAGATTTGTGTCACCATGAGGCATGGACTCTTATGTACGATGCTATAAAGCCAAGGTGTGATTTTCTGGAAAATTTGACCTCTGACCTAACATAACGGGTCAATTTTAAATTTAACAGCGTAACAACTAATACCAATCGCGATATCTAGTGACGAACAATACACTGATGTTTCCTGCTCGGCTCTATTCTCATTAGCTTGGAAACACCAGTGGGCTCGCATCGACCGCCTATCAATTCACGTTATGGAAAAGGACGAATCTGACCAACGGTTGAAAACGTGGCAGCTTCCAAGCGTACTTCCACATCCACATGTACGGCTTCCACAAGTAATACTCTTGAACTTGTGCCTAAATGGTAGCACTGCGTAAATATGTCACTTTATCCTAACTTAATTATGGCCTGAGGTCTCGACTATCACGCTAGCGTATTTGGTGAGTTGGGTGTGAACATCGTGTGATAGAGCATTTTTGTAACGGTATTTGCAGATTGTTGACTTGGAAGTTGTTATATTGAGATAACGATAAAAAAAATGCCAGGAGGTACTGGTTAAGCGATGAAATTGTGGTAAATAACAAATGCGTTGAAGATCCTCAATTTTTTTAGTTGTGCACATCTTCAAGGGTGTTCTAGTGCTCTGTCACACACTATTTTATTACTATTTCATGTTTTCCATTCACAACACAATGCGGGAACAGTTTTACCAATACTTGATTTCTGCAGATACGTTCGGGCCTGCACCTGCGCAACAACACACGAAATGATACGCAGACCGCATGATGGGTAAATGCAAATGTAGACCAAGCCCTTGTAATGTCACTCTTGAATGTGATCACGGCTCGTAATATTGAGTACCGTCAACATAATCGTGCTTTAGCAATACAGGTTCGGTAAACCAGCACCTTCTGGTGTATTGATGGTCGTTGACTCTGCATAATAATTTTGAACTCATAATGCCTAAAAACATTAAGAGCTGAAGGCATTTCCTTCTTATATATTTACCTACCTCATGACACAAACTAACGTCATCAGGGCTCTTCATCTTAAGAGTACTCTTGACGTATTTTTTACTAGCGTACAAGCGTTTACGAACCACATATCTTCACTTCATGACACGATGCAGGAACACTTCCGCCGCAAACTATTTTCTGCAGATGCGTTGGGGCTTGTACAGTGCAACCGCATATGAAAAATGCAGGAACTCTATGTCGATTAACTGCAAATGCAGACATACCCTCATGGTGTCCCCTATTCGTCCGTCTGCACCAGCCATCATTGAAGACACTTACAAAATGCCCATAAACATAAGTATTGATGCAATGCTGAGGCGGGCACACAATCTAAAAACTGAAGCACTGCTTGCAGCTTCGTTGACAGTGCGTGATGAAACTCGTTGTTGATGATAAAACTCGACGCTGCGTTGTGCTCAAATTTGACTGATCTTTATCTTTTTGCTGTCGCCAGTTTCACGCTGCCAGGATTGTTAGTGCGACGACTCCAGCAACCCCGGACTAATATTTCAAGAAACACATCTGCCGGTGCGCACGCCACCGTACCCATGGGAAAGAGCGCCCACCCGCCGCCACTGCGGAGCACCATCCCAGCTGACTGCTGGTGGGCTTCAGAGAACAGGGTGATAGTGTGGCGGATGTCAGAGAACGGAGTGATGGTGCGACGGTTCTCAGAGAACGGAGTGATGGTGCGGCGGTTCTCAGAGAGCGGAGTGATGGTGTGGCGGTTCTCAGAGAAAGGAGTGATGGTGTAACTGTTCTCAGAGAACGGAGTGATGGTGTGACGATTCTCAGAGAACGGAGTGATGGTGTGGCGGTTCTCAGAGAACGGAGTGATGGTGTGGCGGTTCTCAGAAAACGGAGTGATGGTGTGACTGCTTTCAGAGAACGGAGTGATGGCGTGGCGGATCTCCGAGAGCGGAGTGATAGTGCGTGGTGAAACGTAAATTATCAGCCTACAGCGGCATGAGCGATTCGCTAACCAAGATTGACCTGTGCCAGATTGCCGATGCTCGTAATCCGTCAGTCATTGTAGACCCGTCACAAGCGCGGACGTGTTCGCTGAGACAGAGGCGAAATCTCCCGGCAAACTCGAGGAAAGCGCTGAGCGTTGAGAGAATGCCGCGGCTTCCGTCATAGCTTCTTTGCTGGAGAAACTTCCTGAACCTTGGTGACCCGTTGCTTTTATGACGCATTGTATGCAGCTCATGATGTGCAACGTGAACAGCTTTGGTTCAATGAGACTGCTGCTCTCTCTCCTCATAGGTCAAGTTACCGTATTTGCAAGTATTTGACTCATATTCGCTGGTATTCGGACGGTAAAGTTATACCAGCAAGGTCATATATGAGCTCACTGGCAGCATTTCAACTTGTGTAAGCTACTACAAGAGCTCTCGTCGTACCAGGATCACTTAACCGCACAATAAAGATTTGGTACCAGGCGGCCAGCAAATCAGCTGAGCTATGAACACAATGAAGTCCTGCAGTCTCCACCGTAGCTGTGTGTTCTATGCTTAGCTGCCTAAGGCAGTGTCACTCGATTCGAATTTCGGATCATACACAACCGCTTAACCCTATGGGGACATATATGGAGGCCAGCTTGCAGCCAAAGCGGCACGGGGTCAGCTGCAATGTGAGGATGCCGTGCTATTTTATTAAGTGGCTTGAACAACCCATCTCAGCTGTGATTTTTAGTTTCACGACAGGAAAAACTGCACCAGATTTACAGCTGCGTTTCTTCGAGCGTTTGACCGTTTACGGTCGACGTATGGCAGATTCTGCCCTAAGTCGTCCGTGCACACTGTTGGCAATATATTTTTTTTCTGGCCGCCTTTGTTTATAGGAGCGCATGCACACTCCCGTTGTCTGCGGTAACAGCATGAGGACGGCGACAGCGCTGATTTGGGCTGCAGTCAGCCATGGGCGAAGCCATTGGGGGAATGGAGGAGGGGGGGGGGGGGGTACTCCCCGACAATTTTAGGTATCCCGACTTTTGTCTCCCTTCGTCCATTTCGCGCGTGGAATGCATGCTTTTGAATTTTCCCGTTCCAAAATACACTTTTCGGGTCAGGTTTCCCCCAAGATTCCGCACCTCTAATCCAAATAAATCCCCCCCCCCATCTCAGAGATGTGGCTATGCCCATGCAGTGAACAACCACTGTCCGTATTGACATCGGCCGCCGGCCTGCTGATGCTCTCTGTCAGTATCGAACATCGGCCACCGGCCTGCTGATGCATTGATGCAGTGTCGGTATCGAACATCGGCCGCCGGCCTGCTGATGCATTGATACACTGTCGGTATCGAACATCGGCCGCCGGCCTGCTGATGCACTGTCAGTATCGAACATCGGCCACCGGCCTGCTAATGCACTGATGCACTGTCGGTATCGAACATCGGCCACCGACCTGCTGATGCATTGATACACTGTCGGTATCGAACATCGGCCGCCGGCCTGCTGATGGCACTGTCGGTATCGAACATCGGCCACCGACCTGCTGATGCATTGATACACTGTCGGTATCGAACATCGGCCGCCGGCTGCTGATGCACTGTCGGTATCGAACATCGGCCTCCGGCCTACTGATGCACTGTCAGTACCAAACAACCGGCCACCGGCTTGCTGATGCATTAATGCACTGTCTGTATCGAACATCGGCCACCGGCCTGCTGATGCATTGCTACACTGTCGTTATAGAACATCGGCCACCGGCCTGCTGATGCATTGATGCACTGTCGGTATCGAACATCGGCCGCCGGCCTGCTGATGCACTGTCAGTATCGAACATCGGCCCCCGGCCTGCTGATGCATTGATGCACTGTCGGTATTGAACATCGGCCACCAGCCTGCTGATGCATTGATACACTGTCGGTATCGATCATCGCCACCGGCCTGCTGATGCATTGATGCACTGTCGGTATCGAACATCGGCCGCCAGCCTGCTGATGCACTGTCGGTGTCGAATATCGGCCGCCGGGCCTGCTGATGCACTGTCCGTATCGAACGCTGGTGTGGGGTCGGCTGTGGGAAATGGTGCCGTGGCCACCTATATTTTTTGAAGTACATACTAAAACAAAAGTTGGGATTTAGATATGCAGCAATGACGAAAAAGTAACAACCGGCCGGCATCATTCACCGGAGCTACAAAGAAACAAAGCGAGAATGCTCACGCATGTCTGTCCCCTGCACTCATTACGAAACAAGGGAGTCCATAAATGTACATCTTATTTATAACAATTGACACGTACATCATACAAATCATAGTCTTACAGGGTGTAACAAATTACAAACACGAGAGACCAAGACAGTTTCATCTGCAAGATGTAGTAATCCGTGAAAACCAGTGGCCGACACACAGCTCAATCAAACCCCACCGCTCGAACTCATATGGCGAGAGCGTAACGATACGTGGTTTAAATCAGTACTAGCTGTTTCCGTAACGGTGTGGTATGGCCATTAAGCGCAAGAAATCCGCATGAGAATGCCCAGCACATGAAGATCAATGGCACATTAATTCACACAGGGCTCGAGTTGCTGCGGCGTTAAACAGCACAAATAATTGATATTCCAACTGATATGATGTTCCACATCAGTCAACGGATACGACACTGCTTGCTTGAAGTTCATACTCCCGGGCCACCGCTTGCATCCGGAAATCGCCAACGTGTCCGCAAAGGGCCTGCGTGGAGCTGATCACCGGCGAGATGGGATGGTACCAGTCGTCCGTGCCCCTGTCCCCGGCCTCACTTCGACTGCCGTCCTCACTGGAGCACGAGCATCACAGTGACTGGCGGCGGCGGTGGAGTGGCGGTGGGCGGCGGCGGTGCGTCACCGCGGAGCTCACACAACCGCGCCGCTGACACCGCTCAGCCTGACTTCCAGCGAGCGGCGGTTCTGGCAGATGCTGGTGCACGAGTCGCTGCGGTACAGGCCGGCGCCCTCTCGCGCCGACAGCCATGCCTCCACCGCGTGGTACAGGTACAGGAACTCCCGCTGCCGGCAGCGATCGCCGCCGTTACCATGGGAACGGCCGGGGACTGCGGCTGCCGCCGACTCCGGAACCCGACGGCACGGCAACGCGTCCTGGCAAGGCTGCTCCCGCGGCGCGCTCGAGATTTTCTGACAGAGACCAAAGCTAGCCGGCTGCTCCAAATGTATCTGGGACCTCTTCATGATCACCTTCACAACGCATATTGTCCGCAGATTGTACTGTGCGAAGTTTGCTTTGACGTCAAACGTCATTACGGACCTTTATAGACGATCTTATTTGACGTACGATATCAAGATGTGGCGCTTATGTCAAGCTAAATTCTATTTCATTTCACATTCAAATTCTATTGTAAATTTAATCAATCCTAAATTAAACACTGCCAGTTAGTTCCTTTCTCGTTTGAGAACAAATCGTGCTAGCCAATAAAACGAGGCATATATATATATATATATATATATATATATATATATATGCCTCGTATGCCTATCATTCTATCGTATATATGCCTCATAACACTGTGTCGTTAACGATGTGAGACGTGTCGGGTTTGAAACCTATCTTACCTCGCCTTGCTTTGGATAGAAGCATAACAATCGGAGGAGAAGCAATGCATTTCGGGGCGGAGCCAGCATTCCAATGTAAATGCTGCTTGATTTCATTCATGCTGTCGAAATGCTCGACTTCAAGCCCGATTACTGACCATCCTTGGCAAGAGGCAATGCGGTAAAGCCTACCTAAAAAGCTTCGTTCGGACGCTCGGTTTCAAGCCCGAATACCGGCCAGTTATACACAGGAGCGATGCGGTACAGTCCACCCAGATAATCACGGCACCTTGTTCGAGCTCAAAACGGACCACGAGTCCTCTATATGAATGCGGATCCATCTAAGCCCATGGTAAGTACGCAGCTACAGCGGCCATGGCGTTGCATGCAGTGAACCAGAACACATGAACGCACACCTGGTGGAAGGTTTTCCTACCATGGTTTTCCAGATGCCTGGGCGCCTCTGGTGATACAGTTTGGCGTAGGTGAATATATCGAAACACCCCTCGTGCTGCAGCTGCCGGAGTACTGAGCTGAGCAGGCAGAAGCTGGCCCCTCCGTGCCGCCGTACCTGAGCACGGAACGCGCTCGTGTCACAGCGTGGGCCACCAAAGCCAGTCACGGCCGGCGGCCCAGGCAATGTCAGTCTCGGCCGCCGGCATCTTCTCCACTGAGGTGCTTCTTCCAGCATCTCGACATGGGAGGGCAAATCGCTTAAACATCCGCACACTCCTCGGGTAAGCCAGCAGAATGCTGACAGTCAGGGGTGAAGCATTGTGTCTTTAGTAATAGCCCTCTCCGGCCCAAACAATGCAGGTCTTCGAAACTTCAACGAATCTACGTAAAAAACATTGCCAAAAGAGCAACATAGCTCGAGGCCGCATTAACTCCGACATATCCCACCTCAACTCCTTCGCAGCTCAGCCACTGGTGGCCACCATATTCCAGGACGCCCAGTGTTGCACCTCGTCCTCATAATTACTCAACGACCAAAACGACCGTAGATGTCGCGCTTCACAGCCGGTAGGAACAGCACCGCTGGCAGCATTCATGCGCATCACTCGCACACCAGGTGCTGGGTTGTAACCGCCACCGGCCAGCCGGGCGCATGAGAGCCCGGTCACCGCTGGGCTGTGGCCGCCACCGACCAGCAGGGCGCCTGAGAGCCCGGTCACCTGTCGATGACCAGCAGCGGCGTGCGCCGGTCTCCCTGGAATCTCGGTGACGCCCAGCACGCCCTCGACCACCGAGTCGGTGGAGCACTCCTCCGGCCACAGTGGCAGGTGAACTATGCGCACGGTCACGTCATCCATGCCCTGAAACGGCGCCAGCGAGCTCCAGTCCACGACACGCACATCAGGCTGGCACACCTTGGCAGCATCAGAGCCCCGCACGCACCGGCCCGGCGAAATGGCAGGGACAACCGCTCACTCTGTGGCGTCACTGACACCACGACACGCCGCCGTCAGAGCACGAGGGAAGGTGTGAGGCACCAGCCCCGACAGCGCGACAACGGAAGGTCACGGCAGATACTACATATGCTGCGACATAGCGCAGTGAGTACGCCTTGTTTCCAACCCCCAATGCTCGTGGCTGCGACGTCTGAAGCGTTTATACGGTCTCGTGGGACCAGCGCCACTTACCTCTGTCGACTCCATGAGGAAGGAGCGGATGATCCACGAGGACTTATAGGTGGCGCTGCAGTCAGCACTCTCCGACATGTACCGAATTACAAAGCTCCGACCGTAAAGTTCTTCTTCCTCCAGCGGCCAGAAGACCCCGAAGTCCTGGCGGAGGAAGAGCTTAGTTGGCCTCTGAGCAACGTGATTAGCAACTGAAGTCATGACGCAACTTAATAAGCGCGTAGTTTTATGCACAGGATAAACCCATAGCTGACATGGCATCTCATCCTTCATTTTGGATCAAAGCATCTAAAACTCGAAGAACTTAACATGAATCTTTAATACGAACGCGTTTATTTGTCCGGACATTCACTGTCTTACAGATATCACGTATGACTAATGCTTCTTAAGTATCACTTAAGGGTGCCTGAGTCCCAAGATTTTGCCCTGAAGATTCCGAAATGTGACGAAATATTGTTGACTAGTCCTGTACGTGAGACATCCCCCTAAGTTGGTGGGTCGTGGCCAGTGAGGAGGGATTGTGCTTACGCTCACGCTTTCTTATAACCGACACAGTCCCAGCGGCGGTAAGAACGGGCTACGCTACGCCCGAGATGCGCTGGCAGCTGGACCGACCTCGGGGGACAGACAGGTGACCGTGGTCACCCTGTGGTCCCACACCATCTGCCAGAAGTCCAGCACCGTGTTGGGCAGCGGGTGCTGGGTCAGAATGTACTCTTGCATCAGCCGGTAGCCTGCAAGCAGCAAGTACGCAATGAGTGGGCGCGGTCAACACCGGCTAAACGATGACCGAGACCAGCACACAGCGCGCACAGAGGTCAAGGCAGTCTGACGCTAAGAGAAGAGAAGCGCTGGGCGATCAGCGTCGCCGCCGGAGCTCAGCACATATATACGAGAGGGTAGCGGGACTGATATCAATGCCCACGAGCCTCACAAGGCGGCATGTCTTCCTAGTAGCCTCGGTGCACAACACTGCAAAAATTGATTACTCTTGCTTAAATTGATTGATTAAATTGATGTTACTCTTGCTTAAAATGATTGATTAAATTACTTAAATTGATAAGGCCAACGGAGGCGTGACGTCAATACTATTTCGGCCACTAAGTCCGTCCCAGTGGCTCAGTTGGTTAGAGCGCCTGCCTTCCAATCCACCCACCCGTGGCGGGGTGGGTTCGAGTCGCTTTAGGGCGCTCGCTGCCCTTGACAGGTATGGCCTGTGGCCGGTGGCAGTGGGTCGCGCTGAGGTCAGTTGACGTCAGAGGGCAGTACGGACCGTGCCGACAGTGCGGCGCGTAAAGCTTTCGCCACCAAAGTCTGCCGTTGACATGGAATTGCGCGATCGGGTAGTAGGGGTCAGAGCTCACACAAGCACTGCTTAGCGTGAGCTCTGATCCCAGAGATCCATCCATTCAAAGGGTTCGGATCAAATCTTAAAAAACTAACGGGAGGATGCCTCTTGCAACCATAAATACTCTGTAATCATCCGTAACGTTATTTTTATTCGTAATCGCCTTATAAATGACACTAAGCTCCAATACCACGTAGCGAATGCTCACCCTAATGAACATTTATGTATTAGATTCTCAGTGATCTACCACGTCCTGACGGCAATGGGATCAACAAGATCATGCGGTGGACTGGATCGCACAAAAATAAAAGTCAATTTAGCAACAGCGTCCTAAGGGAACCCTTTCTTGTCTTTGTCGTTGCCTTCCTGTCACGTGTATTTCTTGCCGTGGTGCTTCCCCTGCTCCTGAGTTCGATTAACTGATACAATTTCAGGGCGAGTTGAGTGGCATCTCCCCTGCCACGCCTGTCCCCAAAGCGCCAATCGGCGCTGTCTGGTGCCGGGATCAGGCTCTGTGACAGCCAGATCAGTCCTCTCGAGGCGGGCGCGCGTACCCCCCTACAGGAGCCGTTGTCTGGTACCGGGATCAGGCTCTGCGCCAGCCAGATCGGTCCTCTGGCGGTGACACCCGCACTCCTACGGGACCAGGGCTCTGTCCCAGCCAGACCGGTCCTCTGGCGGTGACAAAAGCCCGGCAACTCCTACGGGGACCAGGCTCTGTCCCAGCCAGACCGGTCCTCTGGCGGTGACACCCGCACTCCTACGGGGACCAGGCTCTGTCCCAGCCAACCGGTTCCTCTGGCGTTGACACACCCGCACTCCTACGGTGACCAGGCCCTGTCCCAGCCAGACCGGTCCTCTGGCGGTGACCCCGCACTCCTACGGGGACCAAAGGCTCTGTCCCAGCCAGACCGGTCCTCATGGGGCGTGACACCGACTCCTACGGGGACCATGCTCTGTCCCAGCCAGACCGGTCCTCTGGCGGTGACACCCGCACTCCTACGGGGGACAGCTCGGTCCCAGCCAACCGGTCCTCTGGGCGGTGACCCCGCACTCCTACGGGGACCAGGCTCTGTCCCAGCCAGGACCCGGTCCTCTGGCGGTGACACCCGCACTCCTACGGGGACCAGCTCTGTCCCAGCCAGACCGGTCCTCTGGCGGTGACACCCGCACTCCTACGGGGACCAGGCTCTGTCCCAGCCAGACCGGTCCTCTGGCGTGACACCCGCACTCCCTCCTACGGGGACCAGGCCTGTCCCAGCCAGACCGGTCCTCTGGCGTGCCACCCCCACCCATACGGAAGCCGCATGCTCATGTGTACAACCCGCCCCGCCGGGCCTAGCCCGATCAATAGAGCGTGACCGTGCCGCGGCCGCTCATCTCAGATGTGCGCCGCGCCACCGCCAGATGACAGAAAAACAAAGCTCGCCGCTACGGACCGCAGCCACTCAGGGCCCCCCGGGGACCGGCGGCTGCGGCGCGACTTTTAATTGACCTACAGGACCGCCGGCCCGGCGGCGCGGAGCGGCGCGGCGGACCGACCGCCGGGCCGCCGGCGCTCCGTCACAACACCGGCGGCTGAGCGTCGGCCCCGACGGACTTCCGACGGCGAGCCGACCCGGCAGCTGGCTGTTGGGAGGATACACTCGCGGATTTCGTAAAGACAAACGAATTCCTCGCTTTCGGATGAGCTTGAGTGGAAAATGTGCTCAGCCATCCGTAGCTCAGCAGCCACGAAGCGTAAACGTGAGGAACAACACCAATCCTGGTACAGATGACCCGCTTAGGAGCTATATCAATGCGGCCCGCGAGATGTACGCGTCACCAATGACGAACTACGACACCTATTGAGCCAGAAAATTAAGAGTCGCGACCCAGTTGTGATTTGCGGCCGATCAATCGCGTATTTGTCAGCCGATCGCCAGACCAGTGGCTGGTGTTGATGATTTCAATGAATAACTATCTAATCACGTGCAGGATTATAGCGGGCATTACGAGATATGATATGAATGCGAGATATACATTGTGGTAATAAGATTTATGATATGCGTGACATACCATTGCTTGTACAATGTATAGTATACTATTACCATGTAACTGTTATTTGTGCTAAATAACTCGACATCGCTGATTCTTTATTGTTGACTTGCCCTCATTTTGAGTGTGTACTTTGCAGACCCATTGTAGATGCGTTTGTGCTTTTTAGTTTTCCGGCTCTATGAGGTCAAGGTTCTCATGTAGAGTAAACGACCTTCCATACACAAGGAGGTGCCGGTATATTAGCACTACAGTGTCGTTTTATATCTGCACCTCCTGGTACATTGCAGGCCGTTAACTCCACATACCAGCTTTGAACTCATTAATACCTGATGGCATTCACAAATTCGTAATATTGCGATTATGAATAACATTCACAATGCCATAGCTGTATAAAGTACTTTTATCTTTAAATGAATTAACATCATAGGCAAAATGGTGATCTGTGATGCCTCCGTGCCGCATTTTTGTTCGTTTGAATAACGCAAATTTGGATTGCCATGTTGCGGGCCTGGTTGATCTTGTTCATTGTTGCCACCGCTACATTCGACGGCGGTGGACAAATATAACGTTTGACTGATTAGCCGCCACTCAAGGCGATGGATTTTGTCATGCCGTAACGCGAGCCCAGTCCTATATCTGGACGTGGACCATGAGCCAGCAATAACCTACATTTGGCAAGAACAAAGCACTTTGAAACCACAGCTTCGTATTCTCAGAGTGCTGCAGCTAGAAACCAGAGCCGGACACATTGGCTGGCTCACGGACCCTGGGGCATTGCGCACTACCACCACTGAGTAATCCACAGCCTGCGATGCCTGTCGGCGCGGCAGCTTACTGAAGAGCCGACATGTGGCCTTGAAACCAACAATGGCCATCCCGGCGGTGAAGTCTGCGGCATTCAGCGGCTGAGCTCCCATGCATTGTCGGCAGCTCAATGACAGCCCTTTTGCAGAAGTGGTCCCGGGATTCTTGGGAGCGATATTTCTGGAATACATAAGCTCCGGCATCGCGGCGGCCATACATTCAGAGGGCTGTCCGACTATGAAGACGGCTCATCCTGTGATGGGTGGATGTGACCTTGGCGGGCCAAGGCCAATCGAGTGTACCGAAACAGCTCCTGTCTTGGAAATAATAAATCCCCCCTAGCGAGTGAGGTGGCACCCCCTGCGCATCATACTTTCCGAAACACGCGACCAACAGTAAAACCCAGACAACGACGCACACAATTAAGGCCCTCGTCGAAGGCCCTCGTCAGTTATTTCGCCAGCTACCAGACTGGCACGTTTGGTCGTCAGTTTGTAACTCGCCAGCTACCAGACTGGCATGCTTGGCCGTCATTGTAACTCGCCAGCTGCCAGACTGGCGTGTTTGACTGACCTGGGGCCGACGCTGCGTCTGAGTATGTGTTACGTCACCTGGCAGCCAGGATGCGTTGATGTAGTCGGCGCCCTCCAGACCCGAGTCGGGTCGCAGCCGCACCCGCGGACGTCTCCATCGGGATGTAGCTGAGGCTGCGGTTCTTGGCTTCGTTGCACGGCTTGGCCGCCGACACCACCATGTACTGGCGCGCCTCCAGGGCGATGGCGTGCTGCGCGACACGGACATCGGCGTCACAGGACGACACGCAGAGCTGTGACGCATGAAACGTGACGCTCGAAAGGTAGGCTGACGATGCAGAACGCGTATCCGATCGATTCATGATAACGGAGCGTCGCAGCTCCTGACAACGAAACGAACGACGGGACTAGGAGTGCAGAAATGAGGAGAGAGAGAGAGAGAGAGAGAGAGAGAGAGAGAGAGAGAGAGAGAGGAGAGAGAGAGAGAGAGAGAGGAGAGAGAGAGAGAGAGAGAGAGAGAGAGAGAGAGAGGAGAGAGAGAGAGAGAGAGAGAGAGAGAGAGAGAGAGAGAGAGAGAGAGAGATAGAGAGAGAGAGAGAGAGAGAGAGAGAGAGAGAGAGAGAGAGAGAGAGAGAGAGAGAGAGAGAGAGAGAGAGAGAGAGAGAGCCGGAGCCGGACCGGACAGCCGGACAGCCGGACAGCCGGACAGCCGGCTGAAGCTGACCTTGTACTGGTTCTCGGCGGCCGGATACGGGAAGCTGCCCCGGCAGCCGTCCTGCAGCTGCTCTATGTAGTGGTGGGCATCAGTTTCGAGGCACGAGCGTCTCTCCGGCCGTGACGCGCTCCAAAAGACAGTCGTGCAGGAACGAGTACTCGTCCACCGTGGTGAGCAGGTACGGACACTGGCCTGCCGCACGAAACAGCCGTGGACGGACGAGCACTGGACACGACGCGACAGCTAGAGGACACACGCAGCTGCTGCGGAGTGGTTATCGGGTGTACTACGTCACGGAGAAATGCACAGCACTCTATACTATTGACGTGAAGAAAGCTTCTAACACATCACGTATCAACCAGCATGTGACAATGAATTTTAAATCGGAAACATTTTTGGGGGTAAAATTGAGCAAGTGTCATTTGTTTGTGTTGTTATAATGTGTTGATGTTCTAGCGTATAAATCACATTTTCATGCTATCTGTCACATGAGATTATTGCGATGTCAGACATTTTCATCCACTGCTGGCAGGGTGTGGAGGTAAACATAACAACATTTTGATATGTAGTTTCGGGCCAAGGGCGTAGTTTTGTAAAATGAGCTGGGGTAGTTAGATGGGTTTGGGGCCTGAGCGGTGAAAAATTGCGCAACCTACCGATAAATATGCCAAAGACGGGTTTCTCCCCGGAGCAGACCCACCATTTTCTCAGAGTTGAGGGAAAGGTTGGAGCCCCAAATGAATAAGAAACTACGCTCCTGTTCATGATACCTAGGTTGATGACAAGGCTCATCAAATTGCTTGAAAAGACCCGTTTCACAGAAAACCCACCAGTTTTCTTGAACAAATATTGTGTACATCATTTGCGTGACATTCAATAACACGGCACGTGAACAAATTGCTGGTAACTATACTCACCAGCTTTGTGAAGCCGCATTGAAATTCGGTGAAGCGGCATGTGAATTATTCAGCAGCTTAGGTGCGCGTTATTGCGCCGCGATCCACGCAGGGCGTTCGGATCCGGGCCGCCCGTTCGGCATTCAATCACCATACATTACGCGCATTGCCGGCTCGATGCCGTGATAACAGTGCGCGCTCCGTGTCAGGAGCGCGGCCCCCTGAGGCGACGGGCGCGGTCGGCACCACTGCGCCTGCGCGGCGCGGGCGTTAGACGAGGTCACGACGGCGGTCAAGGAGGCGGAATGTCCACCCGGTTGCGGCGTTTTATGTCCGCTTGTCCTGGATACGCGCGTGTCAGGTGTCCGAATTTGTCCTGTTGGATTTTTCGCTCGGTATTTCTTGGGCATTACGTGTGTGTGGTCAAACAAGACGTCTGAGCTTAATCTAAAATTCGAAGCATGCGAAATGACGTTTTCCTTGCTCAGCTTCCGCACATCGACATCGTTTCGTTGATGATCATACATTCCGCACATATTCAGTAACCAACCTAAACAAATAAATGGCAAATGGGCTTTTTCATGATCTTCCCATCCTTAGATTGATGCTTTACTATTTGCCTCTAGATTGCTAGATTGCCCGCTAGATTGATGCCTCTCTAGCTTTACAGCAAGTGAGCTTAAGATCAGGCTAAAAGGAGCCTCAGGGTCAAAATGTAAAGATATCTAACACAATTCTGCATTCATGAGGCACGGCAATGATATTAGCGTATGCGAGCACTGCATATGAAGATCAAGCGACTAATTTTACCAATGCCCAAATATCATTCCGTGACGACATACGCCGCACCGGTGTACATTTTGATTTCTTCATCCAGGAGGCGTGCCGGCAATCTGCACACACATGTCCCCTCGTTTGTCTCAGCATGCAGGATGCGGCTGAGCCTCACGCCGTCCACCAGGTGGCGCGCGGAGCTCGCGCGCCAACTCACCGATAACGTGCTGCCAGTAGGAGTACACCCCCAGCTCCGCCCGGTACTTGAGCTGGGTGAGCAGGGAGACCAGCCCCACGTACAGTCCAGCGGCGCAGTACGAGGTGCTGCAGCACGACAGGACACAAGCCCAGCGGATCAGCACGCTTCCCTCAGGGGAACATTTGCATGCCACAGGAAGTGCTTTAAACTCCTGGGAGCTTCGAGGAAGCACTCTGAAGAAGGTATGGTATTGATCACTTGATATTCATCCGCACCGGTTAGGGATGGTGGGGGTCTCAGCTCGAGTTCAGTCTGCAAAAGTCTGTAATTGGCTAAAGTTTCAGACCAATTTAGAAGCGACATGACGGCGCTTCCGCTCGCGTATTGTCCTGTTCCAGTGACGCAAACATCCTATTTGTAATTCAGCTTTGCGTTGGAATCTCACGTTAACTTCTACTTTCTCTTTTAATGCAACGAGACACCTCCCAACAGCGCGGCTCTTCACTCCCCACCCATAAGGGCTTTCCACAGGTCAGCGATTGGACACGTGTTCTACAGCATAGCCCCTCCACACACGTAACACGTTCTGGACGGCCCACCACGCCCCGTGCCGGCATCGCAGCGAGCCCTTCAGAAGCAAACGGCCCTCATGTGCGGCCAATGTGCACTAGCCAGCGGGCGCATCTCTCGCCGCACCGCGCATCGCACGGCTGCCCAGGCGCACCTGAATCCCAATAAGCCGGCGGTAATACCGCTCTAACGAGTCTCGGCCGCCAAATGACAGGTCGCTGCTGCCAACGGGCCTCCATGCCCGATAAAGCGGCGCTATGGTCCCCCTGGGGGCTGGGGGCACCGCGCCAGTACCGCCGCGCCGCCCGAGAGAGCGGTCGCGTCGCTGGCCGCGCCGCTCTGGTCCACTGGCGCATAATGCGGCACCGGACGGCTGCGCTAATGAAGCGAAAATGGCGCGACGCCAGTGAAGAAACGCGAAGCCGCAAATATTGCTGTTGCGCCAGAAGTCGTGCTGAGCAGCGTATCAACCTGCGTTTGTTAGACAACACTGCGGCATCCTATCATGGACGATAACCGGGCTGATTAGACCAGAAGCTCGGCCACGGGACGATGGTTGTGGCAAGAGGGGTGAATGGATCTGGGTGGAATCGAAGTGTTTGATGCTTTTTCGCCATACGGCGCTTACAGCGTAACATTCAGTTCCGCCAGGGTTGGAGAAAACTTGCCTCCCATCCTGCCCCTTCTTCTGGAGTCCTTGAACCAAAACGCCTAGCTAGCAAATGTCCAAATGTCCAAAAGTCCAAATGTCGTAAACCATTTCACACAGTCAACGTTCGCAGCATTCACGACATAAGCACACTCGCATTTAGATGTCGGAAGGTGGTCGTGCGACACCAAAGCCATGTTGGTCCTGACATGAATTCACCGTCACTATAATTCGTCGTTCATACACTGACCAGACAGGCCGTTGCAGCATCCACGAGCTTGGCACTCACGCAGAGATGAAAAGAACAGGAGCGTTGGACGCGCTCTCATGCTGAAGCGTCCGCTGCACAAAGTCCAGTAGCGGCAGCGTGTCCTCGGGAAGGCCGAACTCTGGCCAGTATGTGTACTGGAAGAAGTTGACTCCCCTTTCCTTCTTGCTCCTGCTTGATTTACTCTGGAAACATGGCAGAAATAGCCTGTCGAACCCTAGGTTATCACCTAAGTGTCAAGTTCAGCACCCGTGCTGGCGAGAACGAGTGGTTTACAACTCAGCTCAATTCAACTTACGAGAACACTCGTCTTTTTAGTCGGCCTCTTTAGCCAGAGTAGCAACAACACCACATCCACCCGGCACCACTTGAGCCGAGGCCATTACACGGGGCGCATTTGGAGGCAGTTCCAGCGCACTGAGACGTAACGACGCGGCGGCGCGTCCGGAGCGGGCCGCCCGGCCGTCCCGGCGCCGTTCCGGAGCGCGTCAGCGCCGCCCATGAACTGGGCCAACCGCCGACCATGTGTTTGTCCGCCGGCGAGCCGCGCCGGCCACCGCCCCAATGGATCCCCGGGGCCGGACGAGCCGGGCCGGGCGGGCGCGCGCGTCCCCGGGCGCCGGCCAAAGTGGCGCAGGTCCGGCGCGACCGGCCGTGTACACAGGCCCCGGCGCGGCGCGACCTCGCTCCGCCGGGCCAGGGACGGGGACAGTGCGGCGTGGCAACAGCCAACCCGCCGACCGGCCGGCCGTCGGCCCGCCGGAGCTGCAGCGTCGTCCGATGTCGGCTAGGAGTGTGGATGACACGGTTTGTAGCAGATGCTGCACGTGGACCGTGTCGGTAGCAGGCGGGTGATTATGCCTCGTCTAAGGCGGCGTTGGGTTGCTGAGTCGGAGAGCCTTTTGTTTGTCCGCAGTGAGACTGATATGGCTGGCAAATCGGAGCAGATCGACAAAAAGGTGCCATTTCCCATACGGTGTTTTCCATTTCCCGAGTCCCCTCCGTGACATTACGCAACGCATTACCATATTTGCTGCCGCGGCGTATGAATAAGCAATGCGCCATTTTCACAACAATGGTCTGCATCTTTTATCACTGCTACGCCTGTGATAAAATACGCCGGGTGTTTGTCGTGTGTCCATTGTGCTCGTAAAATGCTGCATGACGGTAAGATGGCGTGACAGGCATCGGTATTTCACGTGCCTTGATTTGTGTGACCCCATTCAAATGTGCTTATGAGGGCCCGTGATATCAGACTTACACTCCATCCAAAGATGGAGAGTGCTGAGGAATGCTACCGTAGCGACACTGCCACATAGGTGATCTTCCAACGGAAAAATGGTGAAATTATGACTGTTTTCCCACGGCATATGCGTTGTGAATCGTACACATGCCATGCCGTATTCCCTACCCATGTTCCGTCGCGGTAATCCAGCGGCAAGAGACATCCCAAGTGGGCGCGACCGCTGCTAACACCATCTTCACACATTTACACGACACAACACTTTATCACGTATGCATGGGTGATTGGACCAGTGGGGCATCCCAGTCGCAGAATCGGCCCCGAGGCGGCCTCGGTCCCCGGCTCCCGACGATACTGCAGTCCATGGCCGTTGTGGCAGGTCAGCGCCGGAGTTAGACCAGCGGCAGATCAGCGGCAGACCAGCGGCAGACCAGCGGCAGACCAGCGGCAGACCAGCGGCAGACCAGCGCCAGACCAGCGGCAGACCAGCGGCAGACCAGCGGCAGACCGGCGGCAGACCAGCGGCGGACCAGCGCCAGACCAGCGCCAGACCAGCGGCCCCGGCCACTTCCAGCTGGGCGAGCCGAGCAGCGCACACCCTCCAGCCGGCTGTTCTGGCAGCCTGCGTCTTCGGCAGCCACCGCGCCGAGAGCCTGGTCCGCTCCCGGGGTCGTGGTCCCGTCAGGTCGGCCCGGTCCGGGGACCGTGGTTCCGTCAGGACGGCCTGGTCCGGGGACCGTGGTTCCGTCAGGACGGCCCGGTCCGGGGACCGTGGTTCCGTCAGGACGGCCCGGTCCGAGGACCGTGGTTCCGTCAGGACGGCCCGGTCCGGGGGCCGTGGTTCCGTCAGGACGGCCTGGTCCGGGGCCGTGGATCCGTCAAGACGGCCTGGTCCGGGGGCCGTGGTTCCGTCAGGACGGCCCGGTCCGCGGCGGCCGTGCGCGGCGCCCGGCGGCGGCCGTGCAGGCGATTGCAGAGTCTGTGTCACGACCCCCGCGGCCCTATACACCGATCGCTAATGCTCTGCACATGGCTGAATACCGCCGCATGCAATCATGACGTGCACTTTGCCGGCGTCGCGTGCCCGAAATGCATTACGAGGGCCGGGTGATCGTGAATCATTGCGTCCGATCGCCGGACCTGAATTCGATTAACCTCGAGACATGTCGCAGAATTCAGCGTGACCGGGGGCGGCTGATGTGCTTAAACGAGTGATGCCGGCGTGCTTGGGGTAGCGGCACGCCCTGCTGCCGGGCCGTTGTCACGCAATGTTTCCGAAATGTCGGAGTAGAGGTTTTGTGGAAGGCGCGAGCTCCAAGCGGCCCTGGCTGTTGTCCAAGGAACCAAATCCCTCCGGGTATTGAGACTACTTTTACGCCGGTAAAATTGCATTTTGCCGGTCCGGACTGAAATAAAATCGATGACTGGATTCATTGAGTGACTCTCCCGTAAGCCCCGACGCGGCAAATGGAAAACTTGGCCCGTTATAAAGTCCAGGAGCATGGCACCGCGGCAGGCGTACCTTTAGCTTTGATACGACCAGCTTCCGGACGCAGCAGGCGGCCAGCGGCAGCTCCTCGCGGTGTTCCACCTGAAGGTCGCCGAAAGGTCGTTGCGCCCCTCGCTCGGGCCAGAGCCGGCCGCCTTTCGGCTGCAACAGACGCCGCGCCGTCACTGGACGGAAGCGACGGGACGGACGAATGACAGGCGATGCAGGAGGACGTGTGCACGCCTCTGGCACGCACGCCTCTGCAAAACAACATCATGCGTGGTGCGATGTCGTGGGAGACTTTGACAAGGGTGGAGCTGCGTGAGACGCTTGTCTGGGAAGACGAGTTCACATGGAGCGCACGAGTAAGCTCCCTGTGCAGCATGATGCGCTATGTGAGCATGCATAATTTTATGCGCGCGCCACAGCCACTGATAACCCAACATCGTCCACTCCCAGTGAAATGAAGCAGTCAGCCTCACTGTGGGCGTCCGAGGTAAGTGGCACAGTATTTATGCCACCGACTGAGCCTAGCTTCAAAGGCATTGTATGTGGCCTAAAGGGATCGTGGCGAATTATTCAAATACCTGCGGCGGCTTTGATTTAAGTCGGCGGATAAGTGCGAAGCCCGCTACGCATCGGCAGCCAGCATAAACCTTCTTTACGATGCACCGAAGTGGTGACCGGCTTCATTCTGTGCTGGAAAACGGATCTCAGTGCTGGAGACACTTTTGAAAAGACTGAATGCCACCGCAAATTCCCAAGTCGGTGTTGATAACACATCGCCACAGTGCGAGGCGGCTTTTTGTCGTGACGGCTGCATCAGGACTAGCCGTCTAGCCTTTGTGTCTGGCCAGTTCCATCCCACCATGTTTTCCGCAGACAGGCTGCACTCAGTGACGTCTGGCTTTAAAAAGTGGTCCCAAATCCTCAGTGAGCGTATTCCTTACGACAGCCTTAAACGACGCAGTGATGCAGACGCACACTTTTTGTATCTTTCAATATTTAAACCCCGTTTTAAATCACATATGATCAGATGCAATATGTTTTGCTTGCCTGGATGAGGTGGGAGCTCGAAACGCTCCCTCGGCGGCCAGCACCGATAATCTCATCGCTAGGTTGTCGGAACTCTAGGCAAACGTGTTACAAAACCACCCCGCACGCTCCCTCCTCTATAGCAGCGGGTAAAAATTCAGGCAAAGACAAAAATAATAGCGAAAGCATTGCTGTCATTGCCATCATATGACGTCATTTACTGCGCTTTGATTTAAGTGATTCTCTGTTGAGTCGATGCTACTGATGCTTCGTCCACCATATATTATCACCCTGCAGACACCACAGGTGTTGGGTCGTCTGCGTCATCCGCTTCGTGCAACTTAGATCAAAGATGTATCTATTTTTGGCAGGCATTCCGTCAAAGGCTCACGAACCTAAAATATGTCACAAGGAAATGTGGCTCACGTATTCGTAACGCAAAACTAGCAGACATCAGTGCAGCACGTGTTTCTGGACCTAATCTTAGCCTGCAACATGACATATTAAGCGATTCAGTTGCAAATCATCGTTGCTTACATAATGCCATTTCTGGTCCGCATTAATAACGGTCGTTCTGGGGCAATGGGAGAGAGGCCTGAGCGTCATGCCATTGCCACCCGCACTGACTAAGGCCCGCGTCACGGGCAAGCCACGGGCGTCACCTCACTCCCACCCAGCACCAGTCCACCCGGTCCTCCCGGCCCTCCCGACCCTCCCGGTGCGCCCAGTCTTCTCATTCCCCGACGCGTTCAATCCACTCAATCCACCCAGTCCTCCCAACCCTCCCGGTCCTCCCGACACCCCGGACCTCCCGACCCTCCGGGTCCTCCCGACCCTCCCGGTCCTCCCGACCCTCCGGGTTCTCCCGACCCTCCCGGTCCTCCCGACACCCCGGACCTCCCGACACCCCGGACCTCCCGATCCTCCGGGTCCTCCCAACCCTCCCGGTCCTCCCGACCCCCGGTCCTCCCGACCCTCCGGGTCCTCCCGACCCTCCCGGTCCTCCCGACCCTCCCGGTCCTCTCGGTGCGCCGGGTCTTCTCATTCCCCCGGTGCGCCCAGTCCACCCGATCTACCCGGTCTTCCTAGCTTTTCTGGTGTGCCCGGTCCTCCCAGTCCCCCCGGTACGCTCCGTCCACTCAGTCCACTTGGTGCGCCCAGTCCACTCGGTCTATCCGGTGCGCCCGTTCCACTCGGTCCACCCGGTGCGCCCGGTGCGGCCAGTGCCCCTCCCCCAGTCCCCCCGGTCCCCCAGCTCGGGCAGCCTGGCCGGTAGACGCCACCGGTACATGCCTGCCGAGCCAGCGCCGCGTACCTCGAGCGTCCCGATGAGCACCAGCGTGGTGACGCCCTGCTCCCAGACCAGCCGCCAGAGGGCGTCGTGGCTGGCCGCGCTCGGCCGGTCGGTGACGATGAAGGCGCGCGCGCGCTGGTACCCGTCCACGTAGTAGGCGGCCGGAGTCGGCCGGTGGCGGTACAGGCGGGACGCGATCGGCACACGTGCCGAGTAATCTGTGGCAGGCGCCAGACGTCAAGATCGGAGCGTGCCGCTGCATCAGCGGCGTGCGATAAACACGCCTGTTTAGCTTATGTGGCTGTTAGAGGATGGATGCTGGACCTCACATGAGGGGCACCAGTACCCTCCGTGCCAGCCATTGCGGGTTATTTCGCAATAGTAGCCTGATGTATGTGCACTAAAGCGTTATGGAACAGCATCCTTGGTTGCCAGTCCGGAACACGCATGAGTTTTGGGATTCAAGGAACGTATGAAAACGAATAGACGCGTCGAGCCTTCGTCTCAAGCCTAGCTGCCTAAGCGTTGATATGACACGTGCGATCGACATTTCACCACACTCGTGAAGCACGCCAGGATATCAAACCACGTCGTACATTCATTGCCACACAGGTGCCACACTGTTCACATTAATCGGGGCTAGCGATCGTGCACCACATTTCAATGAAAACGCATCTTACTATTCACGCCTTAAGGAGCACTCACAACTCCCCGTCGAGGCATCGCTGGCCGCTGTCTGTCCGTTCTTCTGCACGGCGCCACTAGTCCGTGCGTCGTCCGCCAGGGGCGCTGCCATCTGCAGCATCTCCCACTCGCGCCGGAAGCCGTCGTCGGCGTCGGCGTGCTGCTGCCGCACATGCTGCGAGAACAGGTGGGACGGCACCGCCTCGTGGGCAGGCGCGCCCCAGCCGGACAGGACCGAGCCGGCCACCGACGCCGCCATCTTGTCGGCCGTTTCGGCCGGGTAGCGTTTCTGGCGCCGCCTGGTGGCGGCGAGACACAACGACGGGTCAGCCTGGGGGTAGTGCGGGGTCGCTCATCGCCACCAAGCGGTCTCACGCAGGTCTCACACTGGGGGAGGGGGAGAGAACGTCTGAAATGGCGGATGGGTGAAACCAATTCGTGAGGATAATCAAATCTCCCCGGGCATCAAGTAGGACTGAAATAATGCAGTGTAGGTCATACCATCTCACTCTTTGTTTTCCTATGCTATCCCTGATAATAAATCGGTGAACTAGTCTTCCTGTTCGACGTACAATGTGGATAACATCAGGGAGGCTGCCTCCATGTTATATGCGCTCATTTGAGCATCACTCCCCTTAGCACATGCCTAACCCTTAGCTATTTAATTCGCCTCTGCTGAGCTGTGAGTGCGCTCAATTCAACCGCCATCTACATCCTTCGTCAGGCCACAATGTTGCCTTGGGAAAAGATTACAATGTATTTGTTATCCTGCCGGTGTTTGCCATATTTTGCATGTCAAGGTGAATGCCGTCAGATTGAAGTGTTTGAACCGGTTACACCAATATTTACGCCGCGGTCAACGGCACCGTGACGGAAAATAGACCCACGACGACAACTATTTTCTGCCGGAGCCGCTGTGACCTGACTCGAATCAGAAAGCAGGTCACGTCACCACCACACGGCAGTCGGCGGCATCAGACAGTGCCTAATGCGCCGCTCCCCTGAGGTCATCATAAACTTTCCTGAATGAGTTCACCTCGCTCTGCGCATTTCCGTGTTCCCGTCTCTCCGTCCTGCCGCGGGGCTCTCCGATCCGGAGCTGGCCACAATTACAGCGGAGCTTTCCCGAGCCCGCCTCCGGTCACAGCGCCGGCTGCAAAGCGGCTGGCAACAACTGGCGGCGCTCACCCGAGCCCGCGTCCGGTCACAGCGCCGGCTGCAGAGCGGCTGGCAACAACTGGTGGCGCTCACCCGAGCCCGCCTCCGGTCACAGCGCCGGCTGCAGAGCAGCTGGCAACAACTGGCGGCGCTCACCCGAGCCCGCCTCCGGTCACAACGCCGGCTGCAGAGTGGTCTTTCTGTCGCTCGCGGCTCCAGAAAGCCCCGCTTAGCACGGCCTCGCTGGTGAGCTCTTCACGGTCCGGCGGTCGACCAAAGCTTCAGGCGGCGCCGGGGCCGGGACAGTGCGCTGCGGGGCCGGGGCCGGGACAGTGAGCTGCGGGGCCGGGGCCGGGACAGTGAGCTGCGGGGTCGGGGCCAGGACAGTGCGCTGCGGGGCCGGGACCGGGACAGTGCGCTGCGGGGCCGGGGCCGGGACAGTGCGCTGCGGGGCCGGGACCGGGACAGTGCGCTGCGGGGCCGGGGCCAGGACAGTGCGCTGCGGGGCCGGGACCAGAGCGGTGAGCCGTGGGGCCGGGGCCGGGACGGTGAGCCGCGGGACCGGGGCCGGGACGGTGAACAGCGGGGCCGGGGCCGGGGCGATGAGCCAAGGAACCGGGACCGGGGCCGGGACGGTGAACAGCGGGACCGGGGCCGGGGCGATGAGCCAAGGGACCGGGGCCGGGACGGTGAACAGCGGGACCGGGGCCGGGGCGATGAGCCAAGGAACCGAGGCCTGGGCAGTGAGCCAAGGGGACCGGGGCCGGGACGGTGAGTCGCGGTACCGGGGCCGGGGCGATGAGCCAAGGGACTGGGGCCGGGGCGGTGAGCTGCGGGCTGGGGCCAGGGCGGCGAGCCGTGGGGCGGGGGCGGGGGCCGGGGCCAGGCCAGGGCGGTGAGTCGGAGAGCCGGGGCCGGGCCGGGGTCGCCGTCCGAGCCGCACTCGGCCGGTCGTTGCCGGCGCCGACAGCGGCCGCCGATGCGGCTGGCCGTGTCGCGCCGGCGCCGCCGCCATCAGCCGCTAACGGCCGGCGCCGCGGCCGGCCGTAAATTAACGCCGCGCGGACGGCCGGGGGCCGGACATGGCACGGGCCGGGCCGGGCCGGGCCCCCAGCCAACAGAGACGGTCGTGTTGCTCTGCAGGGGTACGCGCGTCGGTCTGCGGCGTCAGTTGCCATACCCGGGCGTTACAGCCCCGACGGAGGTAGCCAACGAGCTTGCCGTGTCAAACTCCGACGTATGTACTGTGCTATGTTGCTGGCTATGTATACCATGGGATGGTTAGAACCTCCCAGTCTTCTAGGGAGGCTCGAACCTTCCTGCTCTGCTACTATGCTCTGGGCTCCGATTTATAAGACGTGAATTTAACTTTTGGCTATCGTTTTTCTATAAAACCTTGATTTCATTCCCTAATTTCTTTAGAACCGCTAAATGCAAATATTTAAAACAATTAACATTAACCATGTTGCACGTCCCCTTATTCTGAAAAGGCTCCATCTCGATACCAAAATTAAGTACTTCAGGCCTTCAACAAGTCAACAGGTTTTCATTTACGCAGAATTCAGAGCGCGGCACGTCTGTGAATACGTGCTCGGGGCGAGTCTTTGTCAGGGCAAGTCGTTGTCGGAAACACAATGCTATACATACCGAGGCCATGCTCTCTCCACTCGCATCAAAAGCCCGTTCTGATTCGACGTCGCTCATGCGCTAAATCGTTCGCCTTTCGAGCTTTGCAGCGCCGCTCGGGCAGCCGCGGCTGGGCCGGGCCATCGCTCTCTGCGCGGCCGTGAGCGGCGTTTGCGCTGACGTGTTTTTATGGGCGTCGCTCTGGCGGCCGGCCGGAATGGATGGTCAGCCGCGGGCCGATGGCAGGTCACAGTTAGGCGACACCGGCGGCCCCGGCCGGCGAAGTGGGCGGCCGCCGGCCGGAGACGCCCGGCCGGCCGGCGGCGCCGCCCGGCTAGGTCAGGCCCGCCGGCCGGCCGCCGGTGCGCCCGCCCAGGTCAGGTCCTGCCTGCCGGTGGCGGTACTAGCGGCCCGCCGCTGCGGCCACCGCTGCAGCCACCGCTGGTGCCGCCGCTGATGCAGCGTTAGTGGCGAACAGGAAAATGGTGCTAGTGGTCATTTCGGAAAAAGGGGATGGAACGACGGCACTCGAGGAGGGGAGGGGAAGTCATCTTGGATTTAAACGTTCTGAAAGGTAAAGCATCGCATTCGTTTTAGCACCGCTAACATGTACGTTGAAGAAAGATAAGGAAGTGGAATTACTTTCAACATCCTGTTTTCAACGGGTATAGCGCAGGCATCCCTAGGCTGGAAGTGATGACCGCTTCCTTGTTAATTATGTAATTGCCAAAAGATTTTAAGCTGCCGCAAAAACTGGCATGTGTCTGTCTTAATGTGATAGCGCTGTTATGACCTGCAATCACAGCCCACGACCTGTCCTAATTCCGTGATTTAGTTGATGTTTCTCACGCTCTTCAGCGACAAAACAGCTTCAACATCCCTTCCTCCTTTCTTGGTCGAAAGCGCGTGAGGGTGGTGCCTGGCGCGCAACATGCTGACTTCCTGAGCGGCTTGGCGGCCTTTGAGAATTCATCAAGCTATTATTCGCCGGTGCCGGGCTGCAAATAGTTGGCAGCCCGCCATAAATTACACAAACTGCGCACGCAGATGGGAGCTGTGATGGCCTCGCCGGCAGGAGCGGGGTGCAAATGGCTTAACCAGGGCGTAATTACTCATGAGCGAAGTGTCGCAGCGAGGTGATGGTTCAACAAAATAGTACGTCACTACGGCTGTGGCCTTGGGTGCCTCAGTGCGCTCTGTCTCTCGCTGTATCTCTGCAAACAGCACCGAACGGATTTTCGCTTTAGTATTGATTAGCTTCACCGCCGGAGGCGCTGGATGAATGCCAGTTACCCGAGCCGGGGAGGCAGGGTGGGGTTATTGCACCTCACATAATCTCGAGAACAGGAGTGATTTACTTGTTAAGGTAGCGATCGATAGTTCTGGGTCGTAGGACACGAATGGAATCATTTGAAAATAACTTTCAGTCACTTCTGTCCCTAAAAGCTCCCTGGTTTGGCGAGGTACAGTTCGCAGTCCACGAAAGATGCCTGTGCCTTATGACCACACTGCGTGATGCGGCATGGAGCCAGACACGTTCTTAATGGTCAAAACACAATGAACGGTTCGGTTTCATTCCTTGCTGTCCCTGTGTAACTGAACTGATCTCATATCACGGCTGGAAACAAAACGGGTCAGGCAGTGTTTCGCAGGAATCAACAATCACGTGCAATGTAATTTGCCGGGACGGTGCTTCACGAAGCGCTTGGATTACTGTCTGCGGATCTCCTGCTGTGATGTTGGACAAGTCCTGCTGGTGGACAAGTCCCTAATTTGTTCGTCAATTTGTGATAGGTTCTAAAGGTAAATCGTAAAAATAAATATCTCCAAGCAGTCACGACAACTGATATCAATTGATCACAACACACGAGTAATCACAACAAAACACGGTCACGGAGTCTTGACCGTGCTTCTCGGCTGCGAGATAACGCGGGATGTTGAGCGAGCGCAAAGAGCGCACTCCACAGAAAAAAAGCATCATACCGGTCACTTAGACCCGGTTAGCACATGACCTTGATCACATGTAAGGTCACATGAGGTCATCCAAAGGTCAACGACCCCTGCTTTCAGTAGCGAAAAGGCCAGATGGACGAGTACGACGCGTGGAACTACCTCTCTATCGTGCTTGTGAAGCTGGTGACGTATAATTTAATATCCCAACGTGCCTTTTCTCAGGTTGTTGGATACGTATTGCCTGCGTTGAAGGGACTGTTAATAATGTATGAAAGAGCTGTGCGATGCTAAGTATCTGTAGATATACAACACAAATTTATGACCACTGAAAATCATTGCACTAATCACTTACAACCAGTCAACACTTCATGGTTTCATTTGAATGTTTCGTGACTTTGACCTAAGTTGACCTCAGCTGAGCTCTAGGTGAGCCTTAAATTTTATTTTTATGTCTCGGATGCTCTTGCCCACAGCTACATTTAATAAGATACACTTAGTCAGAAACGCATTGTGAAAAATATGAAGCGTCATTCTTGTACGCTAATGGTAGACAATTTTGAACGGTGTCCTGACCTGACGTAACCCTGGTGAGAAACAATATGGTCACAGTTGACTCCCCACAACCCTAACGCTTACTTTTGTGCCACCAGTATTCTTTTTGACCTATCACCACATGTTTTAACTGGATCTATCAGAATGACCGTTTTTACGTGATCCTTGGTGACCTCACATCTGACCTGCGGTCAAAAATTTGGTGTGCATGCTTCATGACTTGACAAGACCTTCACAACGTTATCTTTTTTACCTCGTGCGACGTATGGAAGTTGGAGATCCAAGTGTCCGGTGTCGGGAAAACGCGACGAAGTCTGGTTTTATTCATTAACCCTCTCGCTGATAGCGGGCTGATGATATGCCCCCCCCCACGCTAAGATCTTCTGAACATACTTCTCTGGCCTGTCGCGCGATCACGCCCAAATTTTTGTTAGCTTCTAGGTCATCTACTGGGCATGTTTTGACAACAAAAACACGTGTCTAGCACCTGGTTTTAGAGCGGCGGCGCTATTTTTCAGGAACACTGCACGGCGATCGACGGGCGGTGCGCGAGCGGCGGAAGAGGGCTGATGATTCCACGAACAGTTCGCGGCCGGCTGACATTGCTACGTTAACCCACCATACTTTATAAACATATGCTCAAAAGATATAAAGATATATGCCATTGTACTTACAATTGATCGAGAAATACGTCCGATTAGGTTCCGTGTCGCTAAGAGGCATAATCTCGTTCAGATGAGCATGTAGAACATGTAGAGCATGAGCATGAGTGCGATCATCGGAACAGTTTGACATATGACCTGGCATAAGGGCGTCAAACAACATCAAACCTGTTGTAAATCCCGAGATCTTGTTAAGATCACTTCACTGGTGTTTTCGCCAAGCCTAATCTTTCTTATTTTAGAGTGACAGGAAGCACGCGTCAATCCTCTCTTTCAGGCCACGCTACAAAACGCGGTGAATCAGGCCCAAGGTTAAGGCCCTCCAGTGACGTTCAAAATCAGATCTAACTCGATATTTGCGACAAAAAAGCTTTTCAGAGAGAATAACACCACTTTTCAAACTCTGTCGGAGCAAATCATGAAGTGAATGAGAAGCTTCGCAAAGGGTCGTCTAAACCGACCTCATTTAAGCTACTGACCCGCACGAAGCGATCTATGTCACCGGGGAATCGGCCAGTTCATATAACATCTATGAATAAGTTAGACAGCACATTTCCATCGCACTCGTAAAAGTATCATCCCGTGTCAATAACTGGCAAAATGTCAAGATGTGGGTAGCATAAATGGCCCCGTAAGTCTGTCGGGTGGAGGCATCACTCAGTGACCCTACATGAGCCGCAATCCCATTTTCCGCAAAACTACGCATTGAAAGCTCTATCAGATATGCCAGAGCCACAACATTATTGTCAATGTTAAATGTGTATGTGCGAAATTAATGAAACATTATAGCAATGTTGTGCTCCACGGCGCTGTGGTCATTTAGCCTTTCCCACAGTCTAAGCAACATCGCGTGGGAAGTAACATGATTCTCACTCCTCGCCGGGCGAGGGTTGATAATGTCCCGACAAAATACGAGTTATGCTGGGATTAGCCAAGCGTGGGAAGCCTCGAGGTAGCTGAACCCGTGTGACCTTTCCTTATCATATATATCATTCGAGACGTCGGAGAAGGGCTAGAATTTATATTCATCGAATAATAACACAGCTAAGAGCTTTACCGTAAGCCGTGGCCTGCGGTTGGCGTGGCCTACCACATAGCCTTGCACATGACCTACCGCATCACCTACCGCACGGCCTACCGCATGACCTACCGCATGACTTATTACATGACCAACCGCATGCCTACCGCACGCGATACATGCATGCGGCATGCATGTATATAAGTGGCAGTGTCCCAACAGAAAGTCACGTGTTCTGAGAGCATTGCCGAGTGCCAGTGATTTGACGTTCCCCATACAGTGCGCATGGGTGAACAAGACATTGTTGACCAATCAGGCCGCTTGCGTCTCAAATTACAATAAATAGGTTACTTCCTGTCATTCCAAACCGCGCATGCGCCGGTCGCGAGTTCGAAGTCTTGGTGGGCTCGCTGACCTCCAGATGACGGCGGCGATGACGAGGAAGAGGACGAGCAGGCAGCCGACGAAGATGCCAGTCACCTCTGAGCCGGCCAGCGTAGTGTGCGGCCGATGCTTCCACGTGCTGTACAGCTGAATCTCCTCACAGCCACGCTCCATGCGCACCTGAACGGCCCGGACGACAGAGGTGTACCCGAGTTGTGGGTCTTACACAGCTCACACAGACTCAGACCTCAGCAGGGCGGCAATGTCACCACAAGTAGGGGAGATGTGATGAAGGAAAAGGGCGAGATAGGAAAAGAGAGTCCGGTGTGTCTGATGCACGTGCCTAAGGTAGCTGTAACTCCAGACGACATTCATGCAAACCAAATCAGACGTGTCAGACCCTGAACAGAAGAGGTAGTTCCCAGTTTGCGAAACAATCATAAACGGATTACACGTGCACATACATGATAATAAGAAGGGCGACTAATCCAATAGATGATTCAACTAAAGCGTGTGCAGCTATGCAGCAGCACAATAAGACATTAACAAATTATGCCGCGGAAGAGAAGGGACTATCATGAGCAAGGATAGGAAACATTAACGGCACAACACATTTCCAACGACCAAATTAGCAACTCTTCCAGCGCACATTAAGCCTAACTTTCCCGGTGCGCGTTAGTTCTAAACGTCACCCAGACCTGCCACCGGGCCCCGTCCTGTATTGGGGAGCGGCCCCCAGCGGTGAGGCGGCGAACTTCTGTCAATAGCGCCGGCCTGAAGTTGGCCCACGAATGGATCACCCACCCCACGTGACCACACAGCCAAGTTTCGAGGCGGCACGCCGCAGCCCCCCTCCCCTCCCCTCCCTCACTCGCATCAAGCCGCTAATTGGAGACAACGGCCGGCGCGAAAATAACCAATTTCGGCGCGTCTCGGCCGCGAGGATCGATGCCGTGAGCAGCCAGCGCCGGCCAGCGCCATACGCGTAAAGCACGCTGCGGCGCCGGCCGGATACCGCCGCTCCTTAGGCTCGTCAAGCGGGGCGGAATCGAACGGACGGCTCCCACCAGCTGCGCCCGATCCTATGCAGACACGGCGGGCGGTGCGCGCAATTTACGAGGCGGTGTAGTGCCGGCCGAGAGTTAATACGGAGCTGCGAACGCCCTCGGCCCGCGTTGAATGAACAGATGAGCAGGCCCGGCAGATGAGCCTCAGAAGGCGGCAACATTGCAGCGCCGGAAGATGCTCCCACGCGCCCCTGTTGCGACGGATGAAGAGCGCTGCGAAAACAATATCGCCACGAGATGTTGTCTGGAGCGGCTTATGGAACAGCATCTGGGTCGATAGCGCCGAGGGACAGCGGTGCCGAGGATGAGAGGGCCGCGTCGACAAAAGTCCTGCAGAAGAGGGGATGGCGGGCACTTGAGAACGTCCGTTGGTTCTGCATAATAGCCTTGAAGTATGAGGTGCTCCCTTCAGGTGTAATGGTGTAATCCTGGTGTAATGGTGTAATGGTGTACACCTCCCCATCAGGTGTAATGAAATAAGTTCATATATTCCATGTATCAAATAAGTACATATTTAAATATTGGCATCCTTTTAAGTGGAGAAGACTGCTGTGAGCAGCCCAATTTTCTGTTTGATAAGCATGTTTCTCAAGATGTCGTTGTCTTAATTACATCATGGCACGGTTACACAACATTGATTAAGAGCTAGTTGGCTGGCCATCATATATGGAAACCGTGCTCACGTGCTCCAGATTGGACCGACTCGACAATTACATTTTTATTGGCCTTGATCGCAGCGTGGCTAATGGAATGGCGGGGCTTAAATGACATTATAGGGTCATGGTTGCCTGAGTGAATTTAAAATAGTCTGCAAGAAAAAGTGTGCACATCTTCGCGGTGGTGCTGCTCAGAAACCAGAAGGGTTAATGTCTTAAGAAGAGTAACTCTGCGACCTGCACCAAATCAACTTCATGATAGCTATTTCAGTCCAAAATCCCATACAAATGTGAAACACTCCCATTAAGCTGTAAATGATGCAATGCATGACCATCAATCGTTATTCAACTCATCTTGCCAAGCTCCGATCTGCGAGAAAGGAGGAAGACGGGGGCGCCAATAATGAGGCCCCAAATCGCACACCATGAGTTTGAAAAACTGCCACTGTTACTGCGGTTACTTCCACTGCCACCCCTGTTAAGCTTCCCTGGTATTCAGAAGTTTGCTTTGCCAACATTTTTTTAGGTCGAAGTTAGGAAGATTCGATATGTTTGTGACAATGACTACACCTTTTTGGACTTAGGCTCCCAAAGCCGGTACTTCCGCCCTCAAGCCGGTGTTTCTGCCCCCAAGGTGGCGCTCTTCAAGCGCCCCTGCACCTTCGGCACCGAGTGGGACCATCCTGGAGAGCCTGGTACTCTGGCCGCGGACATTCCCGTTCCTGCCTTGAACTGGCACATACCGGGTGATTCGCATATAGCATACATGCTGAGGGTTTACGCGTCTGCATAACTATGCCTGCTAGTTAGCCGGATCACGTTTCCCCTGATAGTCTCACCGTACGAGTCCCTTTCCAGCCCGCGTGGCTGTAGGGGATAACACCAATGTACTAAGAATGTAGCGTTGGCATGAGGGGACCGCAAGGGCCGGGGCTCCCGATCTCACCTAGCCGTGACCTCAACCTACCTCCGTGACCTGAGGCCACCATCTTGACTTGATCCTTCCTCGTGTCCCTGGCCTACCACCTTGACATGGAGCTGCCACCCCGACCCCAAGCTGCCACCGTGACCTGAAACTACCGTCGTGAGCTGAATTGGCGCCTACCTTTCTGGGCAGAGACTGCTGACCGTTGTAGACCTTGTTGCGGTCCAGGCGGGACACGGTCGCTCCCTGGATGCGGATCTCGTACACCTGGTTGGCCGTCAGATTGGGCAGATTGATCTGAGGCAGAGGGGGAGAAGGACGTCAAACAGACCCGGGCGGCAGCTGTCGCCCGGCCCAACGCTGCGCACAGTGAGACGGTGGCGGCAGCATGGGACACAGCCGACGGGCGCGGGCCAGGGGAGAGGTGGGATCCCACTCCGAGGACCAAGCGCCCGATGCCACCAAGGGCCAAGCGCCCGATGCCGCCAGGGCCAAGCGCCCGATGCCACTAAGGGTCAAGCGCCCGATGCCACCAAGGGCCAAGCGCCCGATGCCGCCAGGGCCAGGCGCCCGATGCCACTAAGGTCAAGCGCCCGATGCCACCAAGGGCCAAGCGCCCGATGCCACCAAGGGCCAAGCGCTCGATGCCACCAAGGGCCAAGCGCCCGATGCCACCAAGGGCCAAGCGATCGATGTCACCAAGGGATGAGCGTCCGATCCCAGCCGCTTAGGATCAGGTCTGTGTCACGGCTCAGCCACCGCGGTTACCAGCCGGAACCCGGAAGCTTCCGGCTCTGGTGACCGCGGCCCCAAGAGTGGCGAGATTATGAGTCTGCCTCAGGATCTGGAGTTTTCCGGGATCGCTGACATGGTCCCGCACCGGGAGCTAGGAGCACGGGCCGGGTGCCGGTCGTCAGCAAATCGAGAGCTGCACGGGTCGTAAAATGGAGGGCTGGAATATTGCCGAACCATGCGATGACACTCCACCGCGGAGTTTGTCACAAGTCGCTTCCACCACGCAGTCGTGCTCATTGCTGCACTACCTTGTAACGAACGTAACAAGGACAAGAAGCCGTACAGAGATATACGCAACTGCATGCAGTTTGATGGGTTATTGGACATAGGTCACAATGTTATAAACAAAGTCAGAAAACGCATCTGGGATGCATAGCACCTGGAAGGCAGTTGAAATCATCCGTCCATCCACACGTGGAGCTGCACTTTATAAGTAAGTGACATATGGGGCTGGGGTAAAGATGTAATTGTCATGTGAGACCCGAACGAGTAACAAATTCTCAAACTGCTGTCAGTTTTCACGTTAGCGCTGTGACCGCAGATTACAGATTTGGTACAGAGTCCAAAAAGCGGCTGATGACTAAACGCTCAATTGTGGGCGGTTGCTGCTGGCATGGTATTTCCTGCCGGCTTATCTAAGACACTATTTTAATCGCTTCACATTATTTAGTGAGGTTTTTAAAAAAGACAGCCGTCATTTAAACCCGACATAACGTTGTCTCCGTCGTGTATCTTTAAAATATTAAATACGTTGTTGAAGATCTCCACACACCGCCATCCATTCGAGCAGTTTCAGTTATTTGCATTCTAAATACTGGCTGCCGACCCTCAACACAGTTTGCTGGGTAAAATACCTGCTACTGAGAACTTCTCTTACAGTTTGAACTAAACTTTGGCGCAGCAGGTAAGCGCCACGCCTTAATGGGCCTGGGTGCGGTCGATTGAAGGGGAGTAATGACAATGAACGATTGCTGACCGATGCGGATACTGAGTGCACCATATTGACCATCACTTAAACACTTGTTGCCTTCATATGCTGCCAGCAGCGTCTCGTGCACGTACAATGCGGCCTGGAACTCAGGCTGAAGTTTCCGGTTGAGTCCCAGGTCATTTTCGGACGCCTCATAAGCCCGAAATTATATCCAACCCGGTCTAACATGTCGTCCTCAGGACGGTGAACACGCCCTCAAGGACAGAAAATATGCTAAAAGACCTAACAATGCAACCATGGCACATGATAAAACATGGCCGTGGTCTGAAAAGTGCACCAGACCTGGTAGAAGGGGGCTATTTGAAGGCTGGAAGGTACGTTGTAGGTCAGAAAAGTCTAGTAGACCTAACCAACGTTCCACAGGTCTAAAAATACACCCGTTAGCCCTCACAGCACGCCCCCACATAGAAAAGACGGTCATAAACATTGACATTGCATCCAAAAAATATATCCGCAACCTGAAAATGTGCCTAAAAATGCCCCCTTAGAGTCACAAGGACGCCCTTAGACCGGAATATGAGACCTTCGGGCTTCCCAAGGCCACCTGCCAATGCGTTTTTGCAGTTCAAAAGATGCTCCCAGACATTAAGTATGTTGAATGGATGCGCTGCCTGAAAAGGCATGACAGAGAGGTTCAAAGATCAAGGAGAGTTAAAAAAGGCAAGCAAATTACGAGTTGCATTTTTGTTTACCCCATAGCTTCAAAATGGGGGATCTGCGGTACAAGCGAAACAAAACATCACTGGTGGTTACGCATCAAAGAAAGCGGGAGGACCTGAAGCAAGGGCTCCAATTTATAGGTCAATCCTCAAGTATTAAAATGCGTGTGACAATTAGTATATGATGAGCAGTGCATAGAGACGCTATTTGACCGAAACTCTCTTGGAAAGTGTGTCAGTCTTGAACAATCCCACACATGCATGGTAAATATCGACATCAAGTCGGCATAGACTATAACTAGTTATGGCATGCATATTCCTTTGGATAGGCGAAAGGACGCCACATTTTCGGACTGACAATTCGTGGCATGATATATATATATATATATATATATATATATATATACACATATATGTATATGTATACATATATATATATATATATATATATATATATATATATATATATACATATGTATATATGTAGATACACGTGTATCAGCACGTGGCGACATTAGTTTTTGCGTCAGGGTCGGTAAGTTATCGCATCTTACCAGCGCTGCCGATAATTTTGACCCGCCGCACACAATCACGGGCGTTGCTGACGGATGTAATTACCCTCATAATGAAACCGGTGGTACAATATTGGTCGTGACTACGACAGAGTCTTCGCTCGCGGTGACCTTCCAGTTACGGGAACACAATACATGATTTGCCGTGAATGAGTGTACGCCACTGGGGTGGTAATACCCTTGTCATTGCGCAAATATTCGAAAAGGTACATACGTTCTTATTTAGCTGCAAATTCTGCCAGTCCTCGCATATAAGGGGCTTTGAAGCAACCAGAGCGTTATGCGATTGCACATGTACATTTGAGACCAGTTTATGGTCGATCTTGGTCTAGAAAGTGAAAGGACGCGAAACGACTGAGCACGAACACATTACCCGCGAAATAATTGAGGAAGTAACCGGTTGTGTGCCCGTGAGAAGAGGGCATTCTCGTATCCGTTGCCACAGATGCTTCACCAATTTTATACCAGGACTGCACACGTAATTATGAGCATCAAATACGTTTTCATGACCAATCTGGCAAGCCTTTGGTGCACCTGAAGGGTACAATAAGCAGGATACTTGAACGCCAAGGGTCAGTTTTGCTCTCAAATATAGTCACGTGTTCACACCAGTTGTTCCTAACATGGCCTTTTGGAAGATTATTTCATGCGAAATAGCAACTGAAGCTGGCAACAAGCTTTGCACTTTCGTAAAAGATCAAACAGGAAGCGCTCTACCACAGAGCCGTCTACTAGGAGTTGTAGAACACCGGCTATTCAGTCCGTATTTTCACGCCTCTGGATAATCACGAATTTTTATCGCCAGAAACACAGCTGCAGCGGTCGATCCCCACCAAATTTCGCTGCTGTCGCTCAATAAAATGAAATGACTGGAAACTCACGGAATGTGAATAATAGCCGGCTTGCTATTGCCCTTCCCTACATTCAATGTGAAAGGCAAGCGAGAATATAGATTTCAGCGCCAGAAATTGCTAGTGGGGGAAACGCGGAAATATAACAGGCGCTGAAGAATCCAGAACAAGGTATTATGTATCTTACTGTGGCCTCGATAATGTGATCCATAATATCGAGACCAGATCATGGTGACCACCGGCGCCAACCACTTGTCCGACATTGGTGGGTGAACAAGCTGCTGGTAAGGTCTAGCGAGCTAGATATCGTTGGCGACCTGGCGCTGGAGCTCTGACTAAGTGACCTCCCCAATGCTGTCTGCAATTCTTTCGACTGAACAAAGGGGCTTCCGGTTTGCTACTGGCGCTAGATGAAGGTCGAATCACTGAGGAGAAAACTAACTTACGTCAGCCCACCAGCGCTTCCCAACGCTTCGCAGAGACGCGCCAGTATCTGACATCCGTGACGGAGTTTTCCACGCTGGCCCCTTCCTTCCGTCCCAGAAAATCCACCACACAAGCGGACGTCCACGACAAGCGATAGGCGACTGTGAAGGTGCTGGGCCGCTGCACCAGCCGAACCCAACGGGGGCGTCGTGGCGCGCGGATGAGGGCGACTTCCGGCACCGGTGGCAGTTCCCAAACTGCTCGCCGCGATCGATGGCAAGCATGTTAAGCCTCGCCGTCCGTCCAACGCCGGCAGCACATTTTCACTAAAAAGCACCAATGCTCCTGCGTCCTCATGGCTGCCTTGGACGCCACGCACAACCATTCGCCTTCGTCGTCTTAGAAGCGCTAGCTGTGGGGGCGACGGCGGCATGTGCCGCACCCTGGAGTTGGCCCGGTGTATTGCGGACCAAACAATGCGCATCCCACGACCTGGCCCACTGCCAGGAGGAGACGACCCCTTCGCATGTGCTTGTCGGCGACGAGGCCTTCCAGCTCCTGTCAAAACTTATGAGGCCGTATCCCGCAACAGGGGAGGTTAGATTGAAGGACCAGACTCGAGCATGCTGCTATCGCCTCTCTGGAGCCCGCCAAATGTCGGTGAGGTCAGTGAGAGCGCTGAAGATTAGGCACCGGGATGCTATTATCACCTCTCTAGAGCCCACCGAATGTCAGTAAGAGCGTTCGGGATCATGCACGAGCTTTCTACTATCACCTCTCCGGAGCCTGCTGAATGTCAGTAAGAGCGTTCGGGATCAGGCGGGAGCATTATACTATCGCCTCTCCGGAGCCCGCTGAATGTCAGTGAGAGCGTTCGGGATCAGGCACGAGCATTCTACTATCGCCTCTCCGGAGCCCGCCGAATGTCAGTGAGAGCTTCCGACATGCTGCTGCAGATGTCATGGCTCCACATCCACCCCCGAAATGTCAGCAACGGGCATGCGAAGATGCTGTTGATAGCCATGAACACGTTACACAACCGTAGTGTGTGAAGGATAGCACGCTCGGCCGTACTTCGCAAAATACATGTAGAAACACTTGACAACACAGGCATTATTAAAAGGATCAGCAAAGTACACCAGTCAAGTGATCGCTCATGGGGAATGGGCGTGTCGCGCAAAGGTAGAACATTTGATGGCCTGATCCTCTTCTCCACCCAGCCACTCTTGTTAGAAACGTTAAACTTACTTTAGTTAAACTGTCCGGCTCGCGTCTTGTAGCTCAGTAGCGTCCTCCGGCGGTTCTACATCGAAAGGTAAACAACGTCGAAATTGGAAGACGCTGAGGCTTTCGGTTGTAAGCTTTGGCGTAATCACGCCTTAAACGTTGCTGGGGCTCAGTTCTGTTACGATGCCACTTTAATGGTCAAAACGCAAATATTTTAACCTGCCCAAAGGTACTGGGATCCGAACCGCACCAGCCCATTGGTGGCCACGGTCATACTGGTGGATAGCGCGTTCGCGTGGGGAAAGCTAGTATTATACGGCCAATCTTGTTTTTGTGCGAGCGCGGAAATCGTGCAGCGAAATTCGATGCAGCCTCAGCCGAATCTGTACACAAGTTTTCATGATTATGCCCAAACGGTGCCGGAACTCTGGTACTCAAGCGACACAAACGTAATCACGAGACCTGCGGCAGCCAAAAATAGCGGCTAACATGTCAGCGTTCGTCGAATGTGACGGGTAGCGCGATACGTGAGAATTAACGAACGTTACACTTTGGATTTCGGTTAAATTCTACAAGAATGGGCGGAAGACAGCCTACACCGCTCGTTCTTCAAAGGAACGAAAAGCACCGTCCCTCGTTTGACGCCGCAGGAAATCGCTGCCCCTGTTACATAGGTTTTATTTTTTCCTTCATGAGCTTCTGATTACGCCGTTTCCTGATGACATTTATCATGACGGTTTATTTGGTGATCGCCTCGATCCACTATTTTTCAAGATTTTCGTTTTGTCATTGATCAGGCCCTCACACTCAGGGTCAGATCCGCTGAAAATAATTCTTAGTTTAAGGTAGGTAGCCAAACCCGTGAGGAACAAAATGGATTGAATTCAAATGAAAGCATTATGCATGCGTTCCGATTATTGTGTGCATCATAAATTGCACACCACTTACCATCGGTTGCCACCTAATATCTATTTGTCCGGCAGAATTATGCTTTGCGTAGGCATATTGCAGATCCATGCAGCAGGGACAATGCGGGATCACGCCCACCAGTCAACAAACAATGGGAGGGCCCTTCACAGCGGCCACTCGTCGGGGTCATGTCCACCAACCGCCAAGCCTTGGGACAGCCCTAGACTGTGGCCGCTCGTGGAAGTCACGCCCGCCAACCGCCAAGCACGGGGAGAGCCCTAGACAGCGGTCAGTCGTCGGGGCAGCACGCCAGTGATGCGGAACATCGCTCTCAGCGCCGCCCCGACCAATCCAATCAACCTTAAGAGGCTAACCTTTGCGCAGGGTCCCGACTTAAACAAAAGTGGTGCGAGGCCGGCCCCGGGGGAGGCCCGCTTCTGGGGCCGGAGCTGGCGGCTGCAGCGGCCGGGACGGGCGATCCGTCATGTCGGTGACGGCGGCTGGAGCGGCCGCGGCGTGCGGTGTGCACCGCCGGGGCGCTCTCCCCCCTCCCCGCCGCCCAGAGGCCGGCGGATGGCGGGGGTGACGGCGGCTGGAGCGCCCGCGGCGTTCGGTGTGCACCGCCGGGGCGCTCTCCCCCTCCCCGCCGCCCAGAGGCCGGCGGATGGCGGGGGTGACGGCGGCTGGGGCGGCCGCGGCGTGCGGTGTGCACCGCCGGGGCGCTCTCCCCCTCCCCGCCGCCCAGAAGCCAGCGGATGGCGGGCGGCGTCAGGCGTACCGCCGTGTCAGGACAGGCTCCTGGTACTCACCAACTCCTGGCACTCAAGCTGCACCCAAGCTGAGGCAGTACAGTTTTCATGCAGCGGTGAATGTTTCTCTTGGTCCCTATGCTTGTGAAATGCGATTTACGCATGACAGAATAGCATGACGGCTCGTGTGGCGTGGGACAAGTGAGCTGACTGTAACGCGACTTTGACATGGGAATTATAGATTAACAGCATGTGGACGGTGCCAGAACCTTAGATCATTCAGCCACTTACCTCACCAATGATTGAAAGTCCACCGTTCATTGGAGTTCAGAACGCAATGGCTGGCCGACGTGGCGATCTCGAGTCAGGGTTACAAATCACACTGCTCGTTAATTGGCTAGCCTTTCTTCTGGCCAGGCCTCATTTTCGGCCGGGAAAATCAATGAATTAGTATTAAGTGGCAAATTTGGTGATTGTGACAAAGCGTTGGGAAAGCAAAATATCTTATTTGGATATTGGTTTTAATGGAATTGAATGGGCTTCCCTTATTTTTCAGGAGTGGCCTCGTTAGAATAAGAAATGGACCTCCTTAGGTTTTTAGGAATGGGCCTTCCAAATACTTTGGAATGGACCCATTTGGGAATTTAGGAATGAGCTCAATTAGTTTCTTAGAAATGGACCTCCTCAGTTTTTAAGGAATAAACCCCCCTGATTTCTAAGAATATGTCTCCGTAGTTGTTTAAGAATGGGTCTAGCCTATCTCAGATTGAGCCGCAGCGTACTGTATTGCAAACCGGTTATTGCAAACGCAAGAAAGGATATTGGCCTTTTGTAGGCCAATTACCGGCGCACTTATTGGTTGAACACGAATGCGATTGCCTAGAAGGGGGCGCGTTCAGCTGTATCACGCAGTTTGCTCTCTGATGTCGTACCTGCCCTGACTGCGGAGACCTGACATCAGTCTTAAAAACGTCCCAGAATGGGCGGATTTCTGGTGCGCTTTGAAGAGCGCGTCTCAGACTGATCAGACCGATGCACATTTTGAGCGATTCGATTGTCCGTCCCGTCCTCAGACAAAAATGCATTGGTCTTGCGTCCCTAACGTGGGATCGCCGAGATCTGGGCCACCGTTGTGCAGGTTTTTTTTCGCAACTCGCAAATGGTCCATTTTCCTTGTCAATTACGTAAGTAAAGATATACTTTGCTCAAACTGCAATAGTAGGAAAATCGCCTAGGTCAACCAGACTGTTTGAAAATAATCTAAATGTGTAAAGCAAAAATACCAAAGCTGCGTTCCTTGTTCCTGAAGATCTCAGAAATATGTGATTAGCTGTTGCATGCATATCGTCTAGAAAGCGTGACAGCGGCCGCCGGTCGAGCGGGGCCGCTTACGCTGGCGTTGCTTTCAGCGGTTCCGGGTTGACAGGGTTTCAGCGGTTCAGTGGTTCAGCGGTTCAGGATCAATCGGTCTGCGGCCCCGTTCGCAGTTCAGCTGCCAACGGGTGACAGAGCAGCCAGCCTTCTCGTCCGCGGCAATTCAGTCCGAGTGCCCCAGCCGCTGATTTCAGGGCACAATATAAAATGTGCCTTTTATTTTTATATTATGTATTTTATGTATTTTGTATTTTATATATTCTATTTTGTATTTTGACCGAAATGCGTACGCAAAGCAGTGCTAAGCACGATGGCACGTCGATTATTTTGTAACATACGCACTTGCCTCATACGGCTCAGCAATGGAAATCTGCTTGCCTTCCGCAGCAAAACTTTTATACCACCAAGTCCAGCAGAGAAAACAATGCTCGAGCCTCTATCCAAAAGTGCACGAAAAGTAAGCTATGAGACACCACACTATATCAGGTCGTTGTATTGTATGCTACGAGGCCGCCCTTTACTTCCAACTCGCGCACACGCCCATTCGTCCATTACAGATCACGCATGCAAAAAAGAGATTTTGCGGGCGCAAAAAATAGGTGCTTAAGTGACAGAGTGAGCATGCGCCAGAAGCATGGTTCTGCAATCAGTGCCAGAGCAGTAAGCAGGTGGTGACGAGCATGACGCTCCTCCTACCGTGTACTGCAGCCGGTCGCTCTGAACAGGGACCATCCGCTCGATGAAGTCTCGGCTGTCTCCAGAGCGATAGAGCAGATAGTACAGATCAACCAGGCTGAAATAACAGCAAATGTCAGGCGCTAATACAATGAAATAAATAACCATGGTAAGGCTGACATTCGCCCACTGACTTCCGTTGGCAGTCAGTTCGCTGCAGTGCGACTGACGCAGGCAATATTATCAGCACTCAGAAATCCTCAACCGCAACATCTTGCTTTGATTTGCCCAGTTGCATAGCACAATAAAGTAGCCCGCAATTTAGGTTGATGTTTGCTGACGTCATTAACACGCGCATTGACGCCACGCGCCATGGTGCGCTCACCCATAGACGACCTCCGGTTTACGCCACTGCAGTCCCAGTGACGTGTCCGTCGGGCACGTGATGTTGGTGATGACGGGCGCCCCCGGACCGCTGACGTCAGTCCGTGCCCTCACAGGGAACGAGCGGTCGCCCTCGCCGGCCCCCGTCACCGCCTTCAGCCACACGCTGTACTCTGTGTCCGGATCTGTGGGTCGCAGTGATGCCACTGACTCAGGCGGTGTGCCCGGTCCTGTTCTTTGGATGTCATTGCCATCACAGACACACACCGCAGTCCCGGTGTGGCTGTGTAAGTCCAGAGGTAAATGGCATGAACTGGATTACCGGCCGGGCTCTTTGGGTTCAAGTGTCGTCACTAACGCGCTATTTTCCTTGTCCGGCTCTGTGGGCTGCAGTGACGTCACTGATAAATGAACTCTCTGTGCTGTTCAATAACGGTAATATGACCTTGATAACCAAACACCATTGTGTTCAACCGTGCGAAGCTGTATAGTGCCATATGGCTCTGCAGCGCAATATCAGATTAGCCGTTTTCTAGAACTGGTAATAAGCCACAATACCGCGAATCAAGCATGTTGAAAGGAGCAAGAGGTGTGTTTAATGCAGATTAAAAGTGAGCCCAATTGCACAAATGAATATTTAATGCTGTTAACGAGACACATAGCTGATTTGGACTACTACTTAATGCATAATTATGCCGAGTCCACACACCCACAGACTGTTTGAGAGCACGCAATACAAGAGTCTGCATAAGCATGCCAAGGAGCACGAGCGCTTGAACGCCTGCCATGTGTTCCTGAAGCCGTCTCCCCTCACCGAGGTTGGTGATGGTGAAGGTCCTGCGATCGCCGTCAGGCACGGCTCGGCGCATGACCTGGCCTTTGTCGGCCGTCCAGTAGGCGTTGTAGCCGCGCACCAGGCCGTTGGGCCGGCGCGGCGGCACCCAGCGCAGCACCACGCTGCGGTCCCGCACGCTGGAGAAGCTGACGTTCACGGGCCGCGACGGCACTGCCGGACAGCGCGCGGCGCGTGACGAGGCGCCACCCGACGGCCGCCCGCCGGCAGGTCGGCCCTTTCGGGGAAAACGCTCATCTGGGTGGCGTTCGTCGCACCCGGACTTTTAAATTGCGCGCACATACTTGAGCAGGGGGGATGTCACGCGTTCACAGTGTTCGCGCGTCGCGCGCCGCGCCTGACGACTGGGGCCCCAGGCTGCGGCGCGGCACTGTTGCGGCGGATAGTGGAACACTTCATGCATTGGATCAATCCACGGATTGTGGATCAATCCGCGGACTGGATTGGACCGGATCAGATATTTTCACTAAAACATGTGTCGGATTTTGAAATTTACCAGGTCACACGGTTTTCGCGGATCAAATATCAATCAAAATGGAAATCACCACTTAACGTTCCTCCAATGCTGAAAAGAGACATCAACCGAGAAAAGTATCTTGACACCATTAAAATACAGTGGTTTGAATTACAAGCAATGTGCAGGCAGACTACATAATACATAACTCAGCCACATAATCCTCAAATAAATTCTCTGCTGAATAGGTCACATTGACAACTTTATATGAGTGAGTGACACTCATATATGCTGATATTGAAAACTGCTCTGGCAAATCATCACATAACTACTTTTGTAACTACTACTATAGGTTTGATCTTGCCAGCAGTCCCATTGAACCATAGTGGCTGCCATTGCATATCAGAGTTGAAAAAGTAGGCGGAAAATGTTTTGTTGGCAAAATGCACACCATAGAGCTTTGAGCTGCAAGGTCGTGTTTGAGGAAATTAAAAGAAACTTATCTCGATGGAAACACTATGTTCCGTTGGCTTAGTCAGTCAGTCAAGTTTTAGTTATCACCATCTTCAAACTAAGTGTGATGCTTCAGCTAATCTAATGGCAGGTGTATGTCAGAGCAAAATTGCATCCTCAATATCACTCAGTGATCTTCAAAATTGATACATCTCAGAGAATGACCATGTCGTCCTCAACAACCATGGACCAAAGACACCTTCCTCACCCAGTAGTTAGTTGCTTGATGTGAGTTAGGTAGTCTTTACATCCAGCAAAAAACTTTTATTTTAGGTAGGCAGCCATCAATTTGTGTCCTATTCATTCTGCCTCCACTCGTATTATCCATACACAAATTTGGACGTTAACAATACATTTGCGTAGCTGTGACTTTTCTGTAATGGTTTGGGAGATCCAGAGCACTTTACACAGAAAAACAGGAAATTTACTGGGTGAATATGGCACCCAATACCATCCATTCATGCCTTAAATGAAGATTTGGTGAGATTCTGAGCATCTGGTGCGATCACCACGGTCCTTCATAGCAAGTGGGCAGCATGCATATAGGATGTCAAAGCACCAGTGGTCATGACAAAAGTCGGATGACTGGCGAAATGTACGTTATTCTCTCTCATGTTTTTGAACGTGGAAGGATATTTTATTGGTATCTGTGGCGCTCACGACGCAGAAATGACTTATCAAACTGATAAAACGCTGTCCCATAACAAATGCGAAGTGCCGTAACATTGTCGGTGTATCTGGAATAATTGTTTTTCTGTATAAATGTAACTTCTTGCGCCTGCACGATTTACGATTACAAATAAAATAGTTTTCGCGCTTTTTCCCACATGAACAAACAAGGGAGATCTGGCAGCATATGGCGTTTTGGCCAGGGGGCTGAAGAAATGACGCAACTCTTTCATATTCCTGCATGAAAAAAAGAAAGACGGCACCGCAGGCACATGCCGGTGGGCAGTCGCGCGCCCTGATTGCAAGTTACACGCAGCAGGTAATCTAGCGGGAAATAATGGTCGCTGTTGAGTTCGTTTCACCAGCTGCTGTGTCCAGGAACGCATGCTCACATCATTTACCACATGTGAGGTGAGATGGTCGGTTTATTTATTCAAAAGGCGCACTAGGTGGGTATCGTTTTGCGCTTGTTAACTGAGTACCGTTGACACTGTCGAGTGGCAGGTGCAGATCTATTGCACGTAACCTGAAGTCTGGAATTTTTAGATAGTATGCTCACACCTTTAGGTTGGTGAAGCGAGGGGCGAGCTTGGCCCCTAAAATGTAATGGTGCTTATGAATTATTGGCTTAGATAATTGTAATATTATTGAAAGCAAGGTGAGTCTTATTGCAAAATTTTGTAGCCAAGAGGCAACAAGCTGTGTTTAATCTTTTGGCACCCACTCGTGTATACCAACTTATTGTACGTTTTCCCAATAGAAATTAACAAACAAATACAATTTAAGGTACTCAAAAGCACTAACTTTGCTGTTCATATAATAAAAAGTCCTTTATGTTGGAGTGGATCGGCACAGAGTCATCTGAAAAACATCTGGCAATTCGGACCGGATCACGTTGTAATGAGAAATCTGGGAAAGGCGGAATGGCAATCAAACTGAATTTGGACTAGCCTGATTGGACTGGACCGGATCCTGAAAATTAATGCCGTGAAGTTCTTTAACAGACAGCTTGGGCTTGTGCAGACGGGCTGTGCACAGGACGTGAATGAGTGTTGACAGGCAAGGCGTCCAATGACTTAGTGCTCAAGGTGTCCTCGCGTTTGCGTGCCAATTTATGCTGGCTTCTTAACCGTACGTGACGCTGACATACGTTGCAGCCTTTTACACTGGTTTCTGGTTTTATCAATATGCTTTGATATTCGATCCATAATTTTTTATGAGATTATGCCTATATCCCAACTAATTGCATCCTACTTTGAGCATTTTTTAATCGCTTGCCGTGAATTTTAGCAACGACTGATTGTCCATGGCTGATCACTGCCCCAGTGGCCAGGGACAGTCGCAATCTATCATCGGCTTTCCACGCACCATTCCTAGAGGATACAGATGCGCGCCCAGCACGGGACAGTACAGGGACATGGCCAGCATGGGGTCCGCAGAACAGGCAAGCTGCCCACAATATCCTCTCAAAAACGTTACGTTGGTGGGTGTAAGCATGACGGCAGGCTGCCAGGCTAATTTTCAAGCGTAACCATTTTTGAGGGACACACACTATTCGGGATTTTTCGATAATTTTTTCCATATAATTTCGCAAACCAAACAGGCTTAGCAGCCCGAGCCAGACCACAAGTCGCGTTTGGGGGCTCTTTGCGATATAAACAGGGATGCTTGCGTTGAAGTCGCTTTCTGTGACCGATCCGACAGTCAAAGCCGGCCTTTAAGGGTACCGCTGGGCGAAATTACGTGACGTCAACACAGCTATCGCGCCGTAGGGGCCGATGCCTTACTGGCGTTGAACGAGCAGCGTCACTCCGCACTAGATTCTTCAGCAGACGAGTGGTAAAACAGTATTGTCTGCAGCAGATGGCGCAGCACTGGATCGCGGTATTGCACGCGCTGAAATATTCTGCACTATGTGGTTAGATTAGGCTTATTATAATCATCTCATCATAGCGCATCACATTCATGAAAGGACTTGTCAAGCCTAAAATCGTACTCATCAGTAGTGCTCATAAAATCGTACTCATCATATATATATATATATTTGCTCCACTGGGTGACTTTTCAGTAATTAGCGCGGTCACTACGTGGAGGTATACAAAACAACACAGTTTATATCATGCCAACATCTGCGACACAACCCAAGCAATCTTAAGCCAAACCTTGCATAGGGTTTGCGAACGATCGTAAGCCAGGAGACGCTCTGATCAGGCTCACTGTGCCGAGAAGCGTCGACTGATATTGAAGCCACCGATCTGACATACGCCATTGAAGGATGTGCGTGGCAACGCCGACGGCACCGGCCGTTCAGTCCCAGGGTCTAGCAAAGTAGAACTCGTAAGCGCGCCGCCCACCCCGTGCGTACCCTGGATGAATGCAGCTCTGTTGAATCAGTAGCTCGAATGGCTCGGGTTGATATGTCAGAGGGCAGCTCAACTCCGCCTGCGAGCGCTTTAGGGAGCAGCCACGACCGTCGAAGCCCGAGCTTCATGACCGGTTGACCGGTTGACCTTTGACCGGTTGACCGGCTGACCGGTTGACTGGTTGAAGCCCAAGCTTCATGGCCGGTCGCGATCAGCCAGCAGTGCGCTCGCTCTCGGCCATCTCACAGCACACGGAGCCGGACAAATATGCTAGGTTCTTCTGAAACCAGTGATGATTTAGAGCGCCGAAGTTGGCTGCTTTCTGTACTGCTTTCTGCTTTCTGTTCGGTATTTCGTGTGCTTCGATGCGTCCGCTTCAAACTGTGAAACAGCGCAGAATGTGTGACAACAAGGGAGCCTGAAGTAAGAACAGCTGCCAGAAACAACGGCAGATGGGAGGGGAAAATTTGTGCGCCATTTTGCAAAGCCCAGCTACCAAGCTGTCCCAACAGCGAATAATTTGGGAGATTCGTTTGTCCCATGAAACGTGGGAATAAACAATGATGATATAGATCAGGCGAAATGCATGCCATGACCACAGGAGCAAACTGGAAACCATGTGCGCGCGGACTGTTCACCGGGCTTCATGGAAATCTTCCAGTTTTGGCGGGTTTCTGTTCACCGGGCTTCATGAAAAGTTCCAGTTTTGGCGGGTTTTATCATAGTTCGGTTATGTATAGATCACTTAAGAGCTGGTTGAAGAGTGCGTCCCTTTTTCAGCATTCTCAGCCTTTCCAACAATGTTGGATCAGCTGGGCGCCCCAGCCTATGACACAGGCATCATCAGCTCAGCCAGCTGCTTGCCTGTGGGAGGATGTGAGATGAGCTTAGCAGATGCTCATTTATAAAATCAAAAGTTATATAAAAGAACAGGGACGCAAATGAGGCCTTGGAACGTTCCGGATCCTCTTTAGGTGGGAGCAGCTAACTCCAGACCCTTTCCCATATTGATTATTCTTTGAGCGATCCCCCTCCCCGCAGCTGTCTCGGTGGACTGTCTGTCTCGAAAGCGGTGCTGTTCGTCAGTATACTTTGCTGGCATATGTCAACACTGGTGTCAGCACCGACCGTAGTGCTGCGCCCAGCCAGCTGTTGCAGACAGTGCCGGCGTCGGCTCGATGACAGAGGTGACCTTAAACATCAGCCACGGGGTTGACCTCACACATCAGCCACAGGGGTGACCTCTTACGTCGGCCACGGGGAGGACCTCACACATCGGCCACAGGGGTGACCTCTCACGTCGGCCACGGGGAGGACCTCACACATCAGCCACGGGGATGACCTCACACATCGGCCACGGGGGTGACCTCTTACGTCGGCCACGGGGTTGACCTCACACATCAGCCACAGGAATGACCTCACACTTCAGCCACAGGGATGACCTCACACATCAGCCACGGGGATGACCTCACACATCGGCCACGGGGATGACCTCACACATCGGCCACAGGGTTGACCTCACACATAGGCCACGGGGAGGACCTCACACATCGGCCACAGGGGTGACCTCACACATCGGCCACGGGGATGACCTCACACATCAGCCACGGGGATGACCTCACACATCGGCCACGGGGGTGACCTCTCACGTCGGCCACGGGGTTGACCTCACACATCAGCCACAGGGATGACCTCACACATCGGCCACGGGGAGGACCTCACACATCGGCCACAGGGGTGACCTCACACATCGGCCACGGGGATGACCTCACACATCGGCCACAGGGAGGACCTCACACATCGGCCACGGAGATGACCTCACACATAGGCCACAGGGGTGACCTCACACATCAGCCACAGGGATGACCTCACACATCAGCCACGGGGATGACCTCACACATCGGCCACAGGGTTGACATCACACATAGGCCACGGGGATGACCTCACACATCGGCCACGGGGGTGACCTCACATATCGGCCACGGGGAGGACCTCACACATCGGCCACGGGGAGGACCTCACACATCGGCCACGGGGAGGACCTCACACATCGGCCACAGGGGTGACCTCACACATCGGCCACGGAGATGACCTCACACATCGGCCACAGGGAGGACCTCACACATCGGCCACGGAGATGACCTCACACATAGGCCACAGGGGTGACCTCACACATCGGCCAAAGGGATGACCTCACGCATCGGCCACAGGGATGACCTCACACATAGGCCACGGGAGTGACCTCACACATCGGCCACAGGGGTGACCTCACACATCGGCCACAGGGGTGACCTCACACATCGGCCGCAGGGGTAACCTCACACATCGGCCACAGGGGTGACCTCACGCATCGGCCACGGGGATGACCTCACACATCAGCCACGGGAGTGACCTCACACATCGGCCACAGGGGTGACCTGACACATTGGCCGGCCGGCTGCATCTGCTGAATGGCTGTATTAGCACCTCTTCTAGGGAATGTTCAGCGACAGAACGCCCCAATTACACAAAATTCGAAGTGTATATTTGAGCATATCAATTTGCGTACAACGTACTTACTTCTGATCTATCCTCCCTTTTTACATTACTTGATTCTTACATGAAGACGAAAAACACCAACAAAGATGTGCAGTGAAATGGCCGTGATATATAATGGGGCTATGACAAAAATTTAGTACGAGACTAAAACAGTTGCGAGGACAGGGAAATACTTGTTCAATGGGAAAGGGAATGCATGCGCGTGTGGCGCACTTCAACCCGCATATGATACGACAACCTTCGCCCTGGTGGGGGAATGAGACCACCGCCCCCTGAGATTTGCGGAGAACATCTCTCCGGCATGTTGTTCAATCACACTCAGATCCTGGTAGCCTCTAAGACATTCATTGAACGTGTTCTGACACTATAAACGTTTCCCAAAGGTTTCTGTTTTCTGTGAAGTAACGGCCCTTTTGGAGCACTGCACGGCGATCCTCGGCCGGTGCGGACGACGGGTGGCAACCGACGATTCCGCGGGCTATGCAGGGCGGGCCAACACCGTTCCATCAACGGAGCCCTAGGTCACAGATGTATGCTCACAACACTTTGAACTACATTCGTTACATATATAGTTGAACAAGGCATACACCTGTTTGGTTTCGTGTCGCTACGTATTATTGTCTTTTACGTATGAACTTGTAATGCGGACAAAATTTGATTTTAAGAAAAATTCGCCCCTTGGCCTGACATTGTGGCGTACATTTCAATCAGCAACATAGCGGTTTTTACCAATCGCAAGATCTCGTTGAGATCAATCCACTGCTGTTTCCGATACGCTCTATCTTTCTTAGCTTGGAAACTGCAGGTTGGGGTCGTCTCCCCATTTCTATCAATCCACGTTATGAAAAACGCCCAATCAGGGCGATGGTTACAAAGGACCTGGGTTGTAGATTTGGTTGCAGAAAATGGGGCTAAAACGTGCCGAGAGGGCGCGGCTATGGCGTCCCCGCTCGCGTAGACCACACTCCCAGCGCGCGTTATGCTGCCCCGGCATGCGACAGAGCACTGCGGAACAGTCTACATTTCCGGTTCGTCGACGACCGGAGCAGGCCGTAGGCATAGCACGCTGGCTCGCGTATAATCACGGGATTTTTCCTTTTTCTAGCGAGCGCAGCATTTTCCCACCTGGCTCCCTGCCCCGCCATCGGTGATAGCACCAGGAAGGGGTGGGAAGTGGACTTGTTCAAGAGCAGTCCTGGGATTTAACATTAAACCTCCGGATTTTCTTACATCGTTTCTGTGAGAAAGCAAGAAGAAAAATGAGTGGTCAATCACACATAATTCTCTCCGACAACGACCGGATCATCTGTACCGAGCGCCGCTCGGAACAGTTTCCCCACATTCTGGACAATCATACCCGATTACTGTTCGTCCGGCTGCTAAGCCTCGGAGTCCGACTGGCGGAGCGCCGGCGGCTGCAGGCTGACGGATGGCCTGTGCAATGCTGCCGGGCTCAGGAGCCGAGCGGCGGCGGCGGCCGCGCTCAGTCCAGCCGGCTCACCCGGCTCAGCGGCGCCCGGGACTGCTCTGCTCGCTCAGGGTCTGCTCCTTACCGCCCTCGCCCGTGGTGGCGGTGATGGTGGCTGGCGGTCCCAGGTCCTGCGGATTCTTCACCTGTAGAGTGATCTCGTACCTCGTGTACGGCTCCAGGTCCTCGATGAAGTAGCTCTGTTGGGCAGAACAGGCTACTGCCATTGCGGGCCAGCATACCGCATACGTGGATAGTAACAATGCGAAATGAGAAATCAAATTTGACATACGTCTGCACGTCAACCCACAGTTGGGGGAGCTCCATGGAAAAGACATTCTAACTGACACCGAGATGGATTTTTTTGTGTTTAACTGTAGAGGCGATCTTGTCAGTTGCGAATTAGCTGTATTGGATCTGGAATGTTTCAAGAATTAACTAACTAATTTAGTTTGATCTCCTAATTGGTCGGTAGGGCGGGGCAAGAAGCATGTTGAAGGCTCTCAGTGAAAAAGCCGGCCCCGAGAGATATTCCCCACGTACCGCATGCCCCCCCCCCCAAATGGGCGCAAATAAGCAAGGCAGCTGACGTGTCCTTACAACTCGGTAGCCAACAGTTATGGCCCCACCGTTTAAGGGAAATCCAAATGTGTCGTCCTGGTATTTAGCATTGAGGGGGCTGTGATTGGACAGTAAGAGGAGCCCCTAATTACTTAGAACAGGAAACCGCTTGGGTAGAGCCGTGGAGGGCTCGGGGCGGATCGTCAGTCATTCCTCTCCCGGTCGGGGAATTAGGGGCACCTTTATTCCAGCCCAGAGTACCTACTGGTTATCATTCTGAAAACACTGGAGTATGGGACCCGGGTCGGTACTGAAATCATCAGAGGGACGCATCACTCATCGGTCTCGTCCTCGACGCAGAAAGGCCCCTCACCGGAGTACTTGATCCCAGGTCGCCAAAGGGCCGCACTGACCCAGACGAATCTTTCACCAGAGCATGCGGTTCAGTTATTAGCGTTATTTATTATTAGCCTTCCGGCCTAGGTCCTCTAATACGACCTCCGGGCAGCCCTTCGGACCATCTAATCGCGCCCTTGATCGCATTTCGGGCAGGGATACTCGCAAAATCCATAGCTGTCAACCCCAGCAAGTCTGCCACGTCGGGCCGACGCCAACAGCTTTGGCACATTCGACTCGCACGGTCAGTCCACTCCATTCGACGTCGGATGTCTTCGCGACATGCCCCCACAAAGCAGTAAGGCCCCACTCGGCACCCATCGACCCGAATCACAGATGCATCTGACAAAGTTTTGCAACAGGTGAGCAGGTCTGGCCGCCGGCGCGAAACTTCTACGATTTGCTGCCTCTTCGGATCTTTTATCACAGCAGGGGGTAATTGAAATCTCACTGCGGCGCCTCCTGAGAGTATAAGTTAGCAAACATGGCAGACCATAGGAAAGTTGGCCCATTCGGTGCAGCATGTGGCTCTTACTCCGTGTGTTCAATTGACCTTGACCTCCCTGAAGTACGACCATCAATTTTGGGTATCGCCTTTGGTAATAGTCATCCCTCACGGCCCCTATACCACAGCCTCGCCGGTCTGAGAGATATCCAGCTATCCTTTGTTCCAGGATTCTGACGCTAATGAACCCAGTGGAATGTCGACTTGTCATGTTCATGATGATGAGCTGCGTTTGTGCCTACACCTTAAGTGTTAAAAATCAGGCAACAGCCTAAATATATGCATGATCGATCTTGGAAGAGAAAAAAGAAGTTTATGAAAAGATGAACACGAGGTTCCGGCTCCTTTCTATAGCTCTAATTGCTTTAATGGCCTAACTCACCTTGCTAATTACCATTTCTGTTGAAACAAGCGTAATTCCAGTCACACACAAAGGTCATGGCAGCATAACTATCATATGTGCTTCAGAACTATTACGGGATACCGTTGTCCTCAGCCACATACACGTCGAGGTGCTAAAACAGAATGGGTTCCCGCAAAAGATTCATGATACATCTCCGCCTCAGCTTTCATCGCATGCCATGGTCATCTGCCGACAAATCATGTTTGCCATACAGTAAAAGCCACCGTTCCGCAGCCCGTCAACGGCTGGAACGCCGCACCTCCGCCACCTGTACCGAAGCTTCCGGATTGGATTGGTTGTCCGCTGAGCAATCACGCTTTCAGCGATCAACTCCAAACAAGCTTCGGCGGGGGCCGCGGTGCAGCACGTGCGAGGGCGGCGCGACCCGCACCGCCACTCATCCCAGCACGGTCGGCGGCCAATATCCAGAGTGGCCGGCGGCGGACGGCTCGTTCGGCCGCCTTTACGACAGGTGCCGGGCCGGTGGCGCGCGGCGGGGACACACGAGGGCCGCGGCGACCGGGCGCCGGACCCGATGCGCCGCTAACACTCCGGAATTAGTGCCATCACCGCGATGTCATCCCATGCAGAATCGCCGTAGTTTGACACTTACGGCGGCTGTCATCCAACTTTCGCACATCTTAGGGCCGGCCGGACAGCTCGATAGCCCCAGCAGGCCGGCTTTCCGGCGGAATGACTGCCACTGCCGAGGAGTTCCAGCCGACTTTGATTTAATGACGTATTATGTAAGTGAATGAAATGCACTCAATGACATTAATTGATGCTGTTTAACGGCTGATGCTGCTTGTTACGGCAGCCATTTTTCAGCGGGTTGTCTATTTTTCAGTCGGGAACGAGGGAACGAGACTCTCGTGACGAGAAGCCTCGTGTAAGTGATGCTATCGACTCTTGAACAGAAGTCCCTTTGACACCTCGTCTATCTATATCACTTTAGCTTGATTGTGTGGCAGGACGCAGCCCGAAAAATTCACACCACGCTGTTGAGGCGAGTGAAAATTTACGACCGTCATTGTAAATGCAATAGGCCTTAAGTGTTCCCTCCCGCAATGTGCGGAAACGATAAAATGTTTAGGACAGAGGTTGACTAATAACGATGTTCAACAGCCATTTCGATCTCTAAAAATGTGAATCTTGAGGCAGAGTTAACTCAAGTGCTCCATGACATCAATTCGTCTCACATGCCTTGAACAGCTGCAGACGGAACGTTGCGTGCCGGACAGACGCTACATCGCGAACAGACATCGCGAACATCGCGAATGCACGCGCGGTTGGCGCCCTGAGCCGCGTGCCGCGGTCTGACCCGTCCGGCAGCAGACCTGCGGCTGGTGCTGCTGACCACTCCAGCCTGTCGTGAATAGGGTGTGCGTGTGGGGAGCGGAGGGGAGGGGAGGGGAGCACCCGGTTAGGACAGACATGTACCTGAAGGGCGCTGACAGCCGGCTGTAGCTGGGGGGAAGGGGGGGGGGAGCAACCTCACCCGGTCCGACAAGTCGTGCAGCTGGACACTGCAGGCCAGAACCTGCTGCGGTGGTGGAAGGGGGGAAAGGTGGCCTTACCCGGTCCGACACGTCGTGCAGCTGGACGCTGCTGGCCGGTCCCGACCGGCGGCCTGGCTCGGCCCGCCGGTACGTCAGGTGGTAGCCGGTGAACTCCCCGTGCAGCGTGTGGTCGGCCGGGGGCCGCCAGCCCACCTCTATAGAGGTGGACGACCGGTTCCGGGCATATGTCAGCTTCGGTGGCGCTCCGGGACCTGCGGCGGGAGACAGCAGGTGGTGCACTCATGCTGGGCTGGTGAGGTAGTGAGGTCTCAATAGCGTAACCTCCATGGCGCTGTCATCGTGTGGTGAGAATTAGCGTTTGAACATACGGACATCAGCGCAAAAGATATCACGGTCTTTTAGACCACCATTTAGAAGGCTGCAATGTCTTGCAGTCACGCAAGGACACACACAACGAGATATGTTCTCGAATCCTGATTCACGCCTTGGCGACGTCATGAGTTTAAAAGTCAAACAAGAAATTGTTTTTTTGCTCGCGCGTAGCTTCTGTTGCATTTCCTTATCGTGCAAACCGGATAGACGAGTCCATGCTAGGCTACCGCTAGCCGCTGACTTCCCGCGACCATTGAAGAGACATATCCTACGTGTATTGACAGAACAGGGGACATTGCTGCGTACGCCGCAACCCACAACGTTCTCGAACGCCCAACTTACGCCCTCAGAGGATGGTGACTTACACCCTCTGAGGGAGCGATTGAGGCTCTCTGAGGGTGCTGACTTACGCTCTCGGAGTGTGCTGACTGGATACGAGGCGTCGCTGGGCCGGCTGTAGCCCATGTCGTTGGCGGCCACCACGCGGAAGGTGTAGACGGTAAACGGTGTGAGGTCGGCGACCGTGGCGTTGGTCTGGCTGCCGGCAGTGCGGTGGCCCGCCTCGACCGCAGGCCACGTGCCCGTATCGCCGTACCTGACGACGGAGCGCGCGCGTCAGCCGACAACGTCAACACCGACGGCCGCATCGCCGGTATCAGTGCCACTTGCTGGCAGCGTTGGACTTCGATGGATGTCCACTTCTCGCGGTCAGAACCAGCTTAGATGTATGTTTTATCAGCTCAGATGAATCGGTCCAAATTAACTGTTCAAATTACTCGTGTTCAATCTATGTCTGCAAGCTCTGCCCTTTCGTGCAGCACAAAACTTCTAATTAAGCTGTCGAGCATAGACAGCGAAGACTGAAATACGAGCGTCGCTTTTTGGTGGTCGTGATTTAGCCCTGCCGCCTCCGGCTTACGGTGTCCAGATCCGGTACAACCAGACACCGCTGCGCCTACCGCCGATACCGCTCTGCCACCGATGATGACTGTGTCCGCTAGCATGGTCGCCTGTTTACCGCCGCTCGGAGTCGTCTGATCGTGCCAGAATGGCGGCATGATTTGCGGAGCGCCCGGCGCCTGGCAGTGGACGGGCACGAGCGCTGGTACGGCGGGCACGCCCGGAGTCTACTCCCTTCGGTCGCCACGGTGCGCGGCCGACGCGACAGCGGCCCCTTCGGACGCGTCGGCGACGGCCGCACGCGCGCCTGACGCACGTGCCGGCCGCGGGACGGGCGACCGGGCCTGCAGGCGGCACACCTCAAAAGCAAACACGCCATTCGAAGCCGCGGGCGTGGCACAAGGTGTACGGCCCCACGGCGCGAATAGCGCACGAGCCAGGCCTGGGAGCGGGCCGGCTGGCGCCCGGCGCTGCTGCGCAGGCCGGTGCCGTACCACTCGCATGCCGGCCGGCCATCAGCCGTGGCCCGGCCCGGCCACCGTCGCCCCGTCCCCCAGCCAGGCCGGTCGCCTCGGGGCAAATCGCTCGCTGCTCCGGCGTGAGAAGTCATCCTCGAGCGAGACGAACGGTGCGTTATAGTTTGTGATAGACTCGTGGTCGTGGTCCAGTGGCCGGTTTTCTTCCTCTCTCGCTCTGCGTGTAGCCAAGTTTGCAGCAAAGTTTTCAATTGATTGCGAAGTAGCCTTGAGACCAGACTTGTTACAGCTAAATTAAAGCTACCGTGGTCAAACGTGCAATGAATTTAAAAGATTCTATTAGAGCGAGAGTGCTTTAGAAACAAGCCGCAAGTCAATGCTGGCCAAAAACACGGAGATAATGAAAGAAAAGTCCTCTCAGACCCTCAGTAGATGAATGACAGTACAAATCAAGCTCGGAATTCAGTGAGCAGCCATATTTCCGAGTCCTCAAGTATATCTGAGCGTTTTGGGCAAGAAGTGTCATCTGTAGATATCTGGGTACGCCTGCTCCTTGTCATGTATATGGGCATCTACGTTTCTCATAAAGTGTATAGTTGCATCTATTTCACAACATTCCGGTAGTCTGTCAGTCTGAAAATGCTCCCGTCCTGATGACGGCACGTGCCCAGCGGAGCGACCACAGTGCCCGACACCGCCCGTTACTCGCAAAGTTAGCCACACGGCGCGTGGCAAACGTCGTGTCCTGGCCGAATATGTAAACGGCGCCGGCCATATTTCCAGCGATATTGCCAGCGGGCGGTATGGATTCGACAGCGGCAACTGTGTACCCGTCCAGGTGTGTAATGCGATGACTATAATTGGGCAGTTCCAATATTGCCGGGCGTTATTCGACGAAACAGAAACTGCACGCTCCGCGAGAATGGAAGCTAAACAAGAGAAGTGCAATTAAGGGGTAAATAATGATCCCATTACGAACAATCAGCGGCCCATATAGAGACGACAAATCAGACACGTGACATTAAACAAGCTCCGCGCAGAGCGTACCATGATAGTGGACATACTCCAAATGTATGAAAGTCGTCACGCAAGAAACAGGGCCCTGATTACAGTGAGGGCACACTCTGTAACAGGCTAAGGGAGCTGACTTTTCAGGCATTAATCTGACACCTTCGGGAGTATTCCATCAGCCCCGATCGCTTGGCGGCGTCACGTCTAACACCCTTGCAGCCCGAGGGTCCAAGCGTCGTATTGGAAATATTCTAATAGCAATCGATAGATCGGGTCTGTCCCGCATAGGACATTTTTCTTTGGCGTCTTTCGCGCGACTAGTACACTCAAATTGTCACGCCAAATTATCTTAAACATTGCCGAATGCTTCGAACGATTTTGAAGTTCCTTTTTACTCGCAATAGCGTTCTCAAGCTTTCCAACTAGCATTAAGCAAACAAGTGTTTCAATGCATGCAATTATCATACCGTCATGAAATAACGTTAGTGTCAGGCCAGGCCCGATTAACACGCGCCCGGGTGGCAGCCTAAATATGCTGCCCTCGGATGGGGGGAGGGATCAATTTGACCCCAGCTGAGATCTCGTGAACTAAGAAAACTAGAGACACCAAATTTACAGGGTGTATTGACCTGTACGTGAATTCCCTGAGGTCAAAGTCTCAGGTTCCTAGATTATGACCATTAGGTCAAAAAAGGTCAAACAATTTGAAGTTCCAGGCTGGTCTCCAAAGTGCCCCCCAGAACCTAGATAACGTTTCTAAGCAAAATTTCACATTTTCATTAAAGGTCAGTGACCTTGTTTGACCTTTTGAAGGTCAAGGTGACCAAAATCATACAAGATTGCTTTGAGTTTTGCATTTGACTAAGCGACAAAGATTACGCCAGGCAGTATGTTTCTAAAATAAAATGTTGACCTGGGTCATGTTAGGTTAATGACTTATTCCGACGTCTAAGAAGTCCATGGAAGATGTATAATGCGCTCCTGCTATCAATGAACTCGAAATCAGTACTAGAAACTATCCCATACAGCAAGCCCTAGAGTAACAAAACAAGTCGGTTTTGACCTTGGTGTGAACTTCATACATGACCTTAGGTCAATGCAATTTACTCATTCAACTGCTGTGTTGTCTAAGAAAGCACCTCAGGGATGTATGGCTTCATCTAGCACTCCGTTGTTGGATCAGATGGAAGGATCCCCTAGAAATTGCCGTCGCTGAAACCATGGTCTGATTTTGACCTGCCATAGATCAGCGACCTTACAATCTAAATACATCTAATTTCGTGATGCCAAACGATCATCCATTTAATTGTCTACACCTAGGCAAAGTTTGGCGTGGCTACGCCGCACCGTTCGGAAACCATTCTAAAAAAACCTTCGGGGGGTCAATTTGACCCCCATCCGAGTGCGTGTTAACGTTCAGGTAAGGTCCAGATCAAGGCAGGTCAAGATCTGATCAGCTCACTAATTTTTGTTTGGCTGTTTTGGGTCATACGGCTTAGAGCATCCATTGCATTGTAAATCGTCTTGATCACATCGGCCTATCTACAAGAAATAAGCTACTAAAATGCCTTTGGTTTGACGATTGTAGCTTGGACCCACACGCTGATAATGATGTAGTATTATCTAACAAGTATGGCTGGCCATAACTGACATTCGGTGAAACCAGTCCATGAATGGCATAAAAACAGGGGAACACGAAATAAAGCCGAAGATCACTGCATGTAGATGCAAAAACACCCACACAGGCCTTCCAAGCTCATCGGAAAATAGTACAGTAACGTGCAAAGCAAAAGCATGTTGATTTTTATAGAACGGACCAAACTCTGCACCCAAAAACTACAGTTTGGTATTTATGTCTGCAACAGTTCAGAACTTGTTCCAAAAAATCAAAGGGTGCCTTTTTCTAAGTTATTGTGGGTTAAAAAACGAGGATGTAAGGGCATGATACTGGTTCTCGTGTCATGCTAGTTGAATGACGTGTCTGGTTTTATACCTTGCACCCCAGTTCCTTTGTCTTACTGCATCACAGCAATCCGCAGAACACGTTGACAGTAGCTGAAGACGAACGCAACGCCCAAAAGAGCCGCTTGAACCATGAGCACTCACTCATATTCAAACATGCGTAGACCTGTGTTCGTAGATGCGACCATTTCTGCCACGTTTTGCCATGACAGTTGATATCGCCGTAAGCCTAGGCTGCACTCGTAGTAGAAAATATGAAAATAAACCAGCGAGCGCTGGAAAAGCAGTCATCAGCATCGGTGACAAAACACAGTTGAATTTCGAACACCCGGTCTCTGCAGTACTGCAGCTCACGGAGGTTAGTTACCACAAACGATACACAAAACTGCTTCGTCTTTCAACACTGTTCCGATCCCTCACTACATGACGGTGCTACTCTATGAAATAAGACGCGAAGATAACGCCGTACAACGACGAAGTAGGCCCAGTGTGCCTGCCGGATGTAGTTTATCGAATGCTGTTTGACTATTAAAGGCCTGCTTTGACCTAGCTTAAAAACATTGACCGATACTTGATGCAGTGTAAAGGGTGCTGTCCTGCGACATTTACCGTGCCGAGCACGCTCATCGGCGTCGCGGGATGACGCCTATGTGCTGAGGGCTTGACCCATATTGCACAAATCACAGTAAAAGAGGCCTATGTGGCCCATCGGGCGGCAAACCCAGAACAGCATCGGTGCCAGAAATTTTCCAGCCGAGCGTAGGGTATCATCCCAACACCAGCGCACACGATATAATGACAAACATCACTGGTCAAGAAGTATGAACAATGGCCCAGGTCGCCATGCATTCTTGAATAGCCCCGCCCCTTCTGTAGTGAACAAAGATACACTAGTTGGCACACGCACCATTCACAAAAACCTGCTAAAAATGTTTCAATCGAATGCAAATGAGCCTAGTTACATCCCTTTGCGCAAGATTTACTTACTACAGTCGCGTGCGCAACAGAGCTTTGTGAAACTGACACAATCCTAAATTGCCGTCATTAGTATCTCGCTCTCCCTTTTATGCGAGTACTTATCCATATTCGAGACGTTTGAAACAGATTTGTGCCAGCTTTAAGTCACTGCCACGACCACCAAGAGTCATGCGACATATGATAGCTGTTCAGGCGTCACACCATCCGATGGTGAATCTGATAAATGTGCATGAAGCTGGGCATCAGCAGTCTGGGTGACTTTCACACC